TTTGGCTCTGTCACTGATCTAGTCTCGTTGCCTGGGAGTCTATGGAGCAGTGTGCTTTACGGGGGAATCAGCTCGGGTGAGTCCTCCTTCCTGAGGATGGAGGCCAAGAGGCCAGTGGTGAATCAGCACCCTTGGGCTACATGGTTAGTGGGGTGGGGGCTGCACCTTGAACCTCACCTGGATGAATCCTGACCTGCAGCATAGAAGGAGCCGGCCTGGGTGGTGAAGGCCAGAGCCCAGATGGGACCAGGACCTTGTGCACAGAAGTGGGTGTCTCCTTGCCACCACAGCCTGGTTAGACTAACAGACTGTCGCTCCTTTGCTACTTCCTTGTCCGGCATGATTTTCCTTCTCTCATGCCCCTGCTTGTCTATGATGACCACAGTATAGTGTGTCGACATGGGGTTTCATGACAGGGCACCCAGAACTGAACACAGGCGGCCCGGACTGTTCTGGCTACATCCGGGTAGGACGATCCCCTTCTTGCCCCTCACTTGGACAGGATAACCTACAAATGGCTTAGCCTGTCTCGTCTTCCTCCCCTTTTAGAGGCTCACAAGCACTGATCGTTCTGACAAATGTGTGGCCAATGAGGACACCTGGGGCTTTTTCACATGAACTTAGACCAAACTAAGTAATCCTGTAGGCTGAAAAAAATAAATCCTGTGAAGTGACTTTTTCAGTTAGTCCTTATTAAACTATATCTCCTAGATCGGCTTAAACACGGTTTGGGGCATATACAGTTGTGGTCAGAGATGAAGCTGCAGAACGTGTCTTGCTGAGAGCCTCTCTCTCCTCCTTGCGTCTGTCTTCAAACCTCTCCAGCGCCTGACCTCGAGGATCCTCAACTTCTGTCAATTACCTGAAAATTCAATTCTGTGAGATCTTAATCTGGGTTAGGTGATAAACGGGCTCTTTTGTCCCAGAGGTTTGGGACAATGTCAGATTAGTCACAGTCTAGACAGCTTTATTTATTGCAGGGCCTCGTAATAACGTGCACTGTGATGGATGCTCTAAGGGGAACAAGCTGGCACAAAAGCAACATTTTCCAAGTGGCAGGATGATAAGACCATAGGATCTTTCCGATTAGAACATTTTATGACATTATGGCGCCATCTGATACAGTTTGGGACTTACTAGCTGCCTTATGTAGCCAGAAAAGAGTGGATACACTTTCTGAGGCAACCAAGTCCCAGCTAGTGGGAGCTACCCAGGGCCTCATGAGCCAGGAGCTTAGGAAGCAAGGATCTTTCTGACTGGGGAGCAGGTGGTGTCTCCACCAGCTCCTGAGGCCGGAGAACAGAATCCATTTCCACCACATTCGAGGAGGCTCTTCTGCTCTCCGGCCCATCCTGACTTCCTCCCTAGCCTACTCGCTTTTCTTTTCTTTTCTTTTTGCCCAGGTGACAGAATTTGTCCTCTTAGCAGTTTAGCCGGGACAACAAGCTTGCATAACAGTGGCCGGCTCTCCATCAATATTTAGAAAACTTCCCAAGAGAGTCCATGCCTTTGTGAATCAAAGCAGGACATTTATAAGTCAATAAATTCCACTTTGAAAACGCCAGGAGTTCAGTTTCTGGTCAGCCACGAAGCATTTCTGGGTAGTTTCACTTCCAACTTCCACAAAGAAAACTGCTTAATACTTAGATAAAAAGGCACTGACCCAAGAGCAAATTTCTCTCTTCGCAATGGAGGAAATAATTTCTTTCCTTTCCCTCCAGGGACAGGCACTCCATCACTGCAGCTATTCAAATACAGTTGGAAAGGGTTTCTCTTCTGAATCAAAAAGCAAATCTATCCCAGAGAGCTAACGACCACAATCTGGAAGGGCTTCAACGTGAAGTAAAGCGAAACAAAGTACAAGAGGCAAACAGTGGATTTCAGTAACAGGTAAAATAAATTCCCATCTTTGTAGACGCCAGGGGTCGGGCAGATTGAAATGTAAGGTTACAAAGGAGAGAGAGGAGAAAAGCTTAAGAATGAGAGAAGATATGGAAACAGGAGATGCTGCTCTAAGAAATGAACGCAGATGAAGACAAGGCTTCAGCTTAGATTTTGGTCATTGATCCAACCTAATTAAGCCAAAATAGGGGGAAAGAAATGGACAAAGGGAACATTTAGTGAGCACCTCGTGCCTATGGGACTGGTGGTTAGGCGCTTCCTGGAGCCTAACTTGGTGTCACCCTCACTACCCGGGAGGACAGGTGGCAAAACTTCACTTACGGCCAGAGACTAGACACAAAAAAGACGAAGCAACCTGCCTGAGGTCACGTGGTTAATAAATGCCAGAAGCGAGGTTGGAATCTACAGTCCGTTGGAGCTGTAAGCACCGATCTGTGCTGGACAAAACTTGCTGAGGCTATGTGCCCCACTGCAAGAAGTGTCACTTTCGTGGAGTTGTGGCCTGACATGAGATGATGAGAGAAGAAATGCTAACTATCCCAACACCCTCTGGTGAACCGGGCCTTATGAATCAAGCAGAAGCTTGGCCACAGGTGTGCAGAGCTCTCGAGGGCCTGCCCAGGGTGGGGATGGCCAAGACACCATTCTTACAGAGCTCACCATCCCCTTGGGGTCGGTGGGCACAAACTCAAGTGGACCGGTAAATAAGCCACATCTTCCCAGGTAGCAATATGTGCTAAAAAGAAAATAAAGCAGGGGCGCCTGGGTGGCTCAGTCGTTAAGCGTCTGCCTTCGGCTCAGGTCATGATCTCAGGGTCCTGGGATCGAGCCCCGCGTCGGGCTCCCTGCTCAGCGGGGAGTCTGCTTCTCCCTCTGCTTCTCCCTCCCACTTGTGTTCTCACTCACTCTGCTCTCTCCGATAAATTTAAAAAAAAAAAAAAAAAGAAGAAGAAGAAGAAAAGAAAAGAAAGCAAACAAAGCAAGGCAACATTGTCTGTATGGAGGGCCATATTCTCGGTTTCTTGCCATAGATAATCGGGGAAGAAAGCTAAGGAAGAATTTCTGGGCTCAGGAGTCCATGTATGAGTACACCTTCAGGAGTAATTCTATATTCAGTAAAACCTGCTTGGGGCTAACCACCGCCTCCCCCAGATCAGCCACTGTCCTGCACTGAACAGGGCCCCCAAGTTTCCTGTCCGCCAGGAGCCTCAGAAAGTAACCCTGTTTGGACACAGGGTGTTGCAGATGTAATCAGGTGAAGATCTTGGATGAAAGCATCCTGGATTTAGGGGTGATTGGTGTCTTTTAAGAGAAAGGAAAAGGCGATTTGGACTCAGAAACAGGGAACAAGGCTGTGTGAAGACCGAGGTAGCAATGGAGGGATCATGAGCTCGGGGACGCCTGGAGCCACCAGAAAAGAAAAGGCAAGGACGGATTCGCCTCTGGCGCCCTCAGAGGGGGCAGGCCCAGCCGGCACCTTGATTTTGGACTGACCTCCAGGACTGTGAGGAGATAACTCTCTGTTGTGGTCAACCACCACGAATTTGTGGTAATTTGTGGCAGCCTTAAGAGACTAATCCAGTCACACACAGAAATAATAAGCGTTTTCATAAAATCACTGCATGGGAGGCCCACACCCCTCTTCCAGGATCACTGTCTAGTTCCGACGAAGAAGTCCTCTGTTCTGTGACCAGGTTATGGCTGCGAGAAGGACAAGAACACCAGGCGGCTGGCGGTGGTCAGACGAGGTGCCGGGAGCCTCGGGGGGCTGCTGCTGAGAAATCGACACCAGACGGCACCGGAATAAACCGACTACGACTACAGCCAGGGGAGGCACGGGCAGTCAGGACCCAGACAAAGCCTCGTGGAGGTTGGGCTTTCTGACTCCATGGCCTTGGCACAGCCCTCGGAGACACCCTGCTCCGTGGAGGGAGCCAACAAGCCATGATACACATGCTCAGGAAGGGACCCGCCCACAAATGCCCTAAATTCAACCGAGTAAAACAGTGCCGGGAGAAAATACAGAATTTAGCCATTTGGGGTGCAAGTAACTGGTGCAGCACTGGGATCAAGAGGGAGAAGTTTGGGATTAAAGTAAGAAGTCCTTCGGAGGCCATGTGAATAGCTCAGTACCCAGCACATGGCTCTGCTGCTATCCTTAGCACGCAGGTGGGGCCACCTGTCCCCTGGCTGCATTCTCCGCCATCCTTTGCTCCGTAATGAGCCTGTTAACGGGGGAGGCGGGGCCCGTGAGGAATCACAGCAAAGCACAAAAGCATCTGTTCACCTGCTAGTGCCCCTCCAACCTGCACAGCCACCTGCCCTGTCTCCACAGCCCCCCTGTCTTCTGGGTCTGCCCAGCCCAGCCTCAGCCTCCTTGCTTGCCTTGTTAGCAAGTCCTGATGGGGTAGAAGCCACAGCTCCTCCTCTACTACAAATTGCCCTAATAGTCAACCAAAAGAACACCCGAGAAATAACATTAGCATCAAACCATACTGAGCACCTAATAAAGCGAACATTGTTTAAATATAGCTGAATAATTAGATTTTCACCATGGAGGGGACAGGCCCTGATTGGATGCAAAAGGCAATCAATTTGATTGAGTCCAAAACAAAATGCACGTGGTGTGTGTGGGTACACACGTACACACACATACCCTCTTGGCAAATTTAGTTATCCCAGGATGGAGAACTCGATTGTTGCTTTTCCGGTTGTCTTTATTTTTCCCCCTTGCTGCTTTTTAAAGATTTTATTTATTTGACAGAGAGAGACACAGCGACAGAAGGAACACAAGCCGGGGGGAGTGGGAGAGGGAGAAACAAGGTTCCCGCCGAGCAGGGAGCCTGATGTGGAACTGGATCCCAGGACCCCGGGATCATGACCTGAGCCGGAGGCAGATGCTTAACCGACTGAGCCACGCAGGTGCCCCTCCCCTTGCTGCTTTTCTTTGCAGCTCTCCTTAGTGACATAGGAGGTGGGCTGGGGGGCGGGGCACAGCGGGCTAAGGTAGCTTCACCTGCTGTTTAGTGGGAGTATCTGCCCAACTCTCAGAGCTGCTCTGTGCACACTCCTCCAGGCAGGGTCCCCTCTCGATTTACCTTTGCAATCTGCACACACCAGTTGAGCAGGTACTGGGAGCCAATGTTGTCCTTGTGCTCGCGCACATAGTCCAGGAGGCAGCCGAAGGGCATGAGTTGTGTGATAAGCTGGACCGTGGAGGTCAGGCAGATGCCCAGGAGGCGGCACACATGAGGATTGTCTACGCTGGCCATCACGTAGGCTTCCTGCATGGAGAAGAGAAAAGCGTTAGAAAGGCTCCGCACCACGGCTAATGGGACAGATCCCTTTCCAGGTTTAAAAAAAAAAAAAGCAAAGCACAAACGCGATTTTGAGTTCCAAAATGTGTACTGGTGGAGGACAGGGTAGCCCATGAAACATTCAGTGCAGTGGACATTTATGTGGGGCCTATTATATACATATTAGGCTGTGAATTGAGCGTCTTTTAGTGGAAAACAGCGCTGTCTGAGTGCAACACAAGGAGTTACCTAGCGGCAACACACTGAATGAAAATGGGACCTGATGTCTCTGGGTTTGAGCGTTGCTGCTGATGCCTTTGCTGGGAAGCCCTCTGTCCCGAGGCTAAATAGAGCTGCTGCAGTTTAAAATGTTGTCAGGGCCTGCAGAAATCCTTGCTTGGGTCCCTAAGGCTTGATATCGACTCTCCGGCTGAATCGAGACAAACACACACACACACACACACACACACACACACACACACACGCAGAGGTACGGCGGGGAAAGGTCCCCACGGAGGCCACAGATTCTCACCAGGCTGGAGACGCCCCTCCAGTGGGCCTGTTTCAGGCTTTGAACTGGACAGCGGGCATCACATTACAGGGATCCCAGACTCTGCTGGCCGCTCAGGATTCATTTCTGAACAGAGGTGGTCTGTGTTGCCATTGCCCTCAGTCTTGATTGAGCTCAGAAACCATGCTGCTCGTGGACACAGATCCATGACTATAGACTTTATTGTAAGCCTTCTCCTATTCCTGGGCTGAGGAAGTGAGTTTATTTACAAGTGTGCACACAATGGGGGCCCTCTCTTAAATCTGACAGAGAATTAGGGAATCCTCACTTTCCTCCCATAAATTGTCTCCCTTTCAAACACAAAAGGTGGTGACCTTTAATTCAGTTGTGAAAGGGACCACATGGCCTGCAAGAGAGAGCTCTGAGGTTCCTTTTTATATTTCCAGCACTCCTGCGGGTGGAATGTGGATTCGGGCATTGGGGGGTGGGCGCGGGGAGACTTGGGATGAGAACACTGGAGGAGCCAGAGGCGACCGAGGAAACAGAGTGGGGCTGGGGATGGAGGGCACATACACAGATTCCTAAACACAAACCGGATCACACCTTGTTTCTTGCCTTAAGTCATCCTCTGGCCCCACAGTTCGTGGGCAGCCCCACGCCTAGCACATCAGCCCCTCCTCCAGAAACCCCCCTTCCTCGTCCTCCTGGCTCTCAGCTCTCTCAACCCCTGCTCAGGCCCTCGGCCACAAGAGGGCCTTTGCCTGGAATGCCCTCCCACCTCCTCTTTCCTCGTCTGACTCCTCCTCCGAGGGGCCTTCCCGAATCCCCAGTCTTAAACTCTCCAGGCATCTTGCAGTTTTTTTTCCTTTCGGGAGCTGGCTCTTCCCTGCCTGGGAACTTGCTAGAGACGCAAATTCTTGGGCCCCACCCAGGCCTACTGCGCGAGATGCAAGGAGGTGGGGCCCAGCAATCTGTTTGAACAAACCCTCCAGGGGCTTCTGAGGGCTTTGGGGCACTCATCATAATCTGCACTTAAATACTTGTGTGATTTTTGTAAAATGTCCTTTCTCCCCACCGTGCTCCTTGAGGAAAGGGCTGCATTCTCAGCTCTTAGCTTTTGCCCACTGCTTTTTAGCACTGTATTTTGCTGGCAAACACTGCTTATTTATTGCCTGGATATCCCTTACATGTTCTTGCTGCCTCGGCAAGTCGGGTTAATACCTGGGTGCGGTGCAAGGACCTATGTCAACTCTCTTGTCTTTGTAGTGGTACCGAACACATATTTAGGCAGGTAACTGCCTCAAAATGTCAGGATTGAACTACACTGAAATCATACAAAGCCAGAAATTTAAAGCAAATCAGAGACCATGCGCTTCCGTTAACAACGACAAAAATTCCTATAGCTTTTAATATTTGCTGCAGAACGTCTGTGTGGGTGCTTTCTTGAGTGGTTAGGCCCTCTCCTTGCAAGCAGAGCTGGCCTTTCTTTTCTTCTGTATTGTAAACATCATATCACAACATTAAAGAGCAGAGTAGACATTGGATACTTACGGACCTGCAAACACCCCTGAAAGCTTGAGAAGGGCTGTTGATAAAAAGGTAGAACGGGAAAGCCCTGCGTGCGCATTACTCATCTGAAAAGGAAACTGAGGCCCGGGGACGCGGACGGCTAACTGGAGACACTCTGTGTCAGAGCTGGGCCCACATATGGGTCTCCTCACAAGGGCGACACCCTCTGCAAGCCCTCTCGTCACCTCCACATGCTGTTCCCTGCGGTCCCCTGCGATGCCCTGCTGAGTGCTCCGGTGAACGGGCTACCAGAAAGCTCGAGACCTCATTACATACACAGCACGTATATAAATGTTTGCATTCTTTTTCCACTGCCTGCCCTAAATTTAAACTGGAAAGGCTATGGAAAAATTAATAGGCCATGTGATTGCCAGAAATGCACAAATCACGTCTCTCCCCCAAGTCTGGGAAACTGTACAACCATAACACCAAAGAAATCCTCTGGCCGTTCCTATTTTCTCAAGATCTGGTTGAGATTTGGAAACATATTGTATTCATTTTAGAGGGGAGAAAAATCTGCAAACCAGAGCAAATTTGAGCAGCCCATCTGTTGCGGGGCCGTGAGGAGCTGACCTGGACCCCGGGATTGGGGAACGGAGCACCGGGCGTGGGTGTTGGGCCACACAGAGCCTGGAGCTCTGCCAGAGCCCCGATCCTATTAAAATCTGATAGAGCAACAGAACTAGGTCATCACTTCCGCCCCACCCCCAAGGACAATGGAGACGCTGTTTGATCGGGTGTCCTGTTTGGTGAGTGCAGAAGTTAAAGTGAGCTTTGTTCTTAGCTGTTTATCTTAGAATTTCAAAGGTGTATTGTGGCCTGCAGCAAGAATGCTTGGTATTCCCCAGCAATCTCGGAAGGGGACGCTCCGGCCAGGCGCCCGTGTTCAGAGACCCCAAGGCTGATGTCTGAGTCACATGGCACGGTGTCTCTGAGGCTCTGTGACCTTGAAAGTCTATTGTTTTGTTCCAATTGCCAAAATGATCTTTGGTGCCTGCCTTCTTGCTTGTCTCCCTCATCTGTGAACAGTTTTAGGTTACGAATTGGGGGAAAGGATTCTACTAGATCTTCAACTCCTTCAGGAAAGGCATATGCTTATTAGGCTTCAGAATGAAGAGTAGGTGCCCCCACATTTTTGAAACTGTACCAGTTAACTACGCCACAGGCAGCACCTTCTGATCCCCACGGGGTATCAGAGTATCAAGTATTGGGTGAGTGGCGCCATTTACAAGTGAGCGTGAGCATTTCAAAGGACACGTGCAGCCCAATGGGCTGTCCTGTCACAGAATTCACTTGCTCCTTAGCTCACTTTTGACACCAGCCTTGGACGGGATGTGATAGGCAAAGGGTGCTATACGCAACTGATAAATTACTGAACACTGCACCTGAAACAAATGATGTACTCTATGTCGGCTAATTGATTTTAAATAAAAAATTAGAAAAAAAAAAAAAGAAAGCTGCTTTGGAATCACTGGCTTTTGCTTCCTAAATTTGGCAGATTGTCCCTGCTCCTTTCCTTCAGGGGCTCCCCATCACCCAGGCATCACCCCGCACCCATGGGATTGCTGAGTTCTGGGCAGACTGAGCTTCAGGAAAAGCCGATGACAAGCCCTCCAGTTTGTCACCGAGGAACTGAGACACGAGAGAAGACAAAGAGTCGAGCGGAAACCAAAATCAAAGGCAGGAATAAAATAATGGAGGGACAAAGGAGCGGTATACCAGACTGTGGTCTGGTATATAAGAAAGACAAGAGAGAAGATCCTAACAGTTCTCACGGCAGGGAGACACTTTTTTTTCTTCTTTTACTTTTTCTTTTTATCATATCTACAGACAGTGAAGGACGCCAGCGAAGCTTACTGGGGTAATCACCGTGTAAGTCAAGCCGTCTTGCTGGACACATTCAGCTCACACCGTGCTGTCTGCCAATTATACCCCAGGAACACTGGGGGGAAAACTCAAAAACAAAACAAAACAAACAAAACTCCAAAAAATGGAGGGAGAAGAGAGCAGGAGAGAGAGAGAACAAGAGGAAAACAGGGACTCACTTTTTAGGCTTTTCAGTGTTTATCTTCCGCCCCTCCTCTACCCCACAAAAGCGGGCTTCCTCCAGTTTTTGGGGTCCCGGAGGTCCTTAGCAGTGAAAACTACTTCCCTCCCAAAGCAGAGCTATTGTCTTCAAAAGCACCCTTACTCGGCGTTGTAAATACTGCTGAAATTCACAACTCAACATCGTTTTGTGAGATTTATTACACTATCTTGAATGAGAAGAATGAATTAAGGAAGCAAATTCTACAAAAAAAAAAGATTTTCTTTTTAAAGGTACAGGTGAGCCAGCTCTAGGTTCTAGGCGAAGAGACGTGAGGCACATATTTCTGTGGTTATGCTGAGATAAGTTGATGTAATGTTAAAAGGACTCCACACTAACTTTTTTTTTTTTTTAAAGATTTATTTATTTATTTGACAGAGAGAGACACAGCGAGAGAGGGAACACAAGCAGGGGGAGTGGGAGAGGGAGAAGCAGGCTTCCCGCTGAGCAGGGAGTCCGATGCGGGGCTCGATCCCAGGACCCTGAGATCATGACCTGAGCCGAAGGCAGACGCTCAAAGACTGAGCCACCCAGGTGCCCCTCCACACTAACTTGTAAGCCATTAAAAGGAAAGATAATTTTGCTGGATCAGTATATCTTCAATGTGTACAATCTGCTACTGCACTTTATTAATACATTGAGGAGTGTGCCAGAGTGGGAATTTCCCCGTAATAAGAAGGGAATTTCCCCATAATAATAGGAAGGAAGCCTGCGGGAGGAATTTCAAGTCCACGGTGGTTATGCCACTGGGAAGTGCATTGTGTCTAATTTTTAAATTTAAAATTTTTACATATAAAATTTTAATTTTAACAGTCTTTAAAAGGCCCGTGTTTGCCTTGCTTGGTATATATTCTGTGGGTTAGAAGCAAGAGTGGGAAATATTAGTTTGGCTCTTGTCCTTCCCGGCTGTAAGATAACTGAATTGTCTAGATTTCTCAGGCAGCCATTTTTTGTGTTTTTTTTTTTTTTTCTTTGACTCTGTTTTCCCTAACCTTCTGCTAAGCCTCTCTACCTTCTCTTTCTCTGGCTCTGCTTTGGGACGAGAGCAAAAGTTTGCATCGACCCACAGCAACCCAAGGCCAATGGTGTTAACAACAAGACCCCATTTGCTCACTGGCTCTTCCCGAGCATCCCTTGAAGCGGGCTCTGCCACATCCCATGCTGGCCCCTCTTTCAGCCAGCCTGTTTAAGAGGATGTTGCCCCCTTATTGGCTAATGAGGATCCAGAGAAGGTGAAGAAAGTTCAGTGGAACTGAAAGTAAAGACATGAAAATAATCTTGTGGGACGTTCCAAAGGCTTACTCCATAAACTAGCAAAGGACACTGGAAATAACATATACATTATTTGGGGGGAAAGTACAGAAGATGGGCAACAGTTTATAGGGTTTATAGAGCATCATACTGTAATCCTAGGCACCTTTAAAAAAAAGTCATTTCAAAGATAACTTGGTGGAGCAAAATGGATATGCATTTCAGAGGCAGAAATAGCAATGGGCTGGAATCCTACGCCAACCATGTAAATGTGAGCAAGCTTCTTAATGCTTCCAAAGCATACGGAGTGTAATGCCCATACCACAGGCTGGTCAGGAGAGGTCACTGTGGTAGTGTGTGCAAAGAACTAGTCCTGAGACTGGCCCTTGGTGGACATCTAACGACTGTGAGTTTCTATCCTTTTGGGAGAGATAGAGAGTAGAATGGAAGATACGACTCTTCTCCATAGGATAAAGCCTGAGAAGGAATTATACCAACTGCAGCCAGAAAGAAAAAAGACATGAAAAGTGAACATTTAGAATGTGGTGATGAAAAAAAGTCTAAAACAGGACAATGAGCTGCTAGACACCAGAAAATGTGCTTCTGATGTCCAGGCCTGTGGACAACTAGAGAACAAAGGAGAAACTTACATCAAGAATTTCCTTGTTGGCTTTTGGAGATGTGGCTTCTCTTAACTCCTTGATGGCCACGGGAATTTTAACCTTCTCACCTTCCGGGATCCAGAGTCCCTGTGACGAGGAAGGAGAGAAGACATTACTGGCACTTGTCATCTTATGCAATATGCTGACTTGTGAGACAGACGGACTTTACCAGTGACGCCGTCCCAAAGGGCGAGGGACCTTGAGCACAGCTCTGCGCTCCAAGGCCATCGGTGCTAGGAGCCATGACATCTCCGCAGCTCTTCTGCTATCACGTTCCATGAATCAGAGTCGTTAGATAAAAAACCCTAAGCCTGTGCCAGTTATAAAGCCAGTGTGGGTCATTTTGTTCAGAATTCTGAGATACTGGGTGTCAGCCTGATTGAAATCAGCCTTGATGTAACAGGATCCAGAAAAAAAAATGAACTAAGAGGAGCTGTTTTGACTTGGGCTTTGTTTGGATGCTGTCACACAGTGATAGGCAGCCCTCCTTCAGACTCCGTCTCTGCCACCCACCCCTTTACAAAGTCACCACTGTTGTCCATGAAAACTTTGATGCCTGTGTAGGGGTCCCACAGGACCATTTATTTGTCACCATGATCATATAAGATTTCCTCTTGGCAACTTGGGGAAGACGCTGGAATTTCCCAAACCGTGAGCAACACGAAGAGTAGATGAGGTTGATGAACAGAAGATAGCCCAGGACTCTGGATCTGCCCACCAGCCCGCGTCCCCAGAAGTCTTGGTGCCCTGGTGGCCTCACCTTGTACACCGTGCCGAACGCTCCAGAGCCCAGCACCTTGATCTTTTTGAATTCTGTTTCCTTTAAGATCCTCAAGAGAGCTTGGTTGGGAGCTTCTCCGCTGGGTGTAAGAGGCTCAACAAGCTGTGGGAGATAAGGAAGAAGAGCCACCACCTCAACGCTCAAGGCGCACATGGAGGCAGGCCTTAGCCAGGCCCACACACAGCCACGTGTGGTTGTGCTTCAGCACAAACAACCTGCCATGCTCACTTGAAAGAAGAAATGCATGTCTTCTCAAAGAACTTCACGAAAGGTATGTTGACAAAGGGACTCCCTGGAATGGGTATCCTTGAACAGAACAGCTCCATTTCAACAAATGCAATTTCTCTTTTCCAGTCAATTAGCTGGATTGAGAGGATTTTGGTGAGGAACATTTTGGGAGGGTTGGTCATAATGGTAGCCTGTTGGGCGTCCTAACACGCAAGTGCCTTTATGCTATGAGCTGCCGTGGGTCTCTCCTCCCAGGGACTCTGGCTTCTGACACTCTGCGGGACACAAGGATGCCGGCTCAAGTGAGTCACAAACAGAGCTCAAAGCAACAGCACTGTGTAGACAATGGGATTTTTCCACAGTAACATCCCAACCATGTGCCTTCATAGGAATCAACAGACACCTATTCGCAAGCCCCTCTGTGCACATATGTGCACGCATGCCACACGGCTTTGCATCCAAGTTGTGAGACTTATTTCATTCCAGAGCTGTACCCAAAATGTAACTAGTTGTTTATAACGGGACATTCAGAGATTCTTTCTGGTTTTTCCACCATCAGACATAAAACATAATAATACAATTACATATTTAACATACAAAATCTTGAATGCCAAGGCTTGGCAGGTGAGCCCCTGTTCCTGCCCGGGGTGCTGGGGCTAGGGGCACTGGCGGGGCGTGCTGGGCCTGGGCACCCACTCACCTCTCGTTCTTGCAGCAGTCTACGAAGCGTGCGCTTCCGGACGATGTGGCGCCGGCGCAAAAAGAGGCCCACCCCAAGGGCCACCACCACCACCAAGAGGAGGCCACCCACAATGCCGGTGGCAATGGATGGGATCTTGGGCCTGGAACGAGAGAGAGACATGGGAAAGTGAGGCTTGCTGACAGATTTCATTACATTGGCATTGTATCATTTCCTGCATTTTTTGACACCTTGCCATCATTTAACATTATCTCAGAAAGTAGATTCCACGTGGCTTCTACAGAGAGGAAAGAATGCAAAGAGTTTCTAGGGTAGTGTTTCCACCTTTTTGAGCATACGAAGGCCCTCCCTCCTCAGCTTTCTTACATTTTTTTTTAAATTGAGGTATCATCTGGACATTCCCATATGACAATTATAGTTTAATCTATTGATGAAGAAACTGCGTAATTCAAAAAGTAACTCAGACTTCAATAATGCTTTTCATATGAATTTGCATTTATCCCCAGAGTTATCTCCCTACGTTTGAAGCCCAGAACGCCACATGCCTAAGACACGCATTGTCTCCTGGCTTGCCTGGGTGAAGGCACCCTTTCCACAACGTTGAGCCTCTTCGAAGAGTCCTTGGCTTTCAAGATGGGCCCACAGCCGTGTGGAATGCTTTATGAATAAGCTTGGGGGAGATTATAAAGTGATAGGATTTCAACACAAAAAGCATCACTGTCATAAATGAGTGATGCTACTGTGTAACAGCAAAACCACTCTACCACCCTCCTTCTTCCCACCGAGGTTATGCCTGATTTCAGGGACAGCAAAAACTCAGAACGAAAGTTCTGAAGTTCACTGGGGAAAGAACCATCTGAATTCGTGGATTCTGAATTTAGACTGTTTATACAATTATTCTTCTCAAGTATCTATTCCATTTGAGCTTCTGGCAAACTTCATATTTTCAGGAAGAAATGTTAAAGAATTATCAAAGATTAATTAGTATCATTAGCACATAAATATCCCAACATTCTTACAAATTTCCTGTAAGTGGGTCAAAGGTGCTCCACGACAAAGATATTTACAACACTTTCTCCTTAGTGAGTGCAAAAGTTGTGTCTTGCATTGTGCCATCTCCCCAATTAATGCAGTTTGCATTAGTGAGTTTTTACTATCTTGAAAGGAACACTAGAACGATACAAAGAATAATTTATTACAGGGTATGTGTTCCATGGGGAGCTGTAGTAAGGGTAAGTGAATAAAAAGAGAAGAAAAAATAAAAAGAGTAAATACAACAAAGAATGGTCATTGACTAGTTTCAAGGTGGGGCTTTGATGGAAAACCTCATTATGAAGGTACTGATCATAGTGTGAAGATAGGACAAATTTTGCTGATGTAGGCTCAGCAAAGAGGAAGGGATGAAAGGAAATCTTTATCTCTGAGAAACTGCCTTACTCGTCTTTCACGTTTCACTTGATAGTAGGTAGGATTTATCCTTATGGCTAATTCTGGGGCAGAAGAGTCAGCTGACATGGAGGGCAGGCAGGTTGTTGAAGAAGGGACTGTGTAGACATTACTGGAAATGGAAGAGGTGCCTGAAAGTCTGGCTCGTGTTGGGTACGTCAGGAATGGCAAAGAGGTGCCTTGTGCATAATTCCGATTCCTTGCCAGACTCTTTCCTGATGAGTCTGACCAGGAATTCCCAATTCTGCTTTTCTTAGTGCAGCATTTCAAGTAACGATGGCAAAGTAATCAGAATTGAAACGCTGAAGGAAGTCATTGTTTTGAAAAGGTCAGTCAGGGGAGAAAATCCCCCCAAGCTGGAGCTCTGTCCTCAAACATGAAGGTCTGAGATAGGGCCCACTGGGTCAGCAAGGACAAAAAGAGAAGCTAGCAGAAGGATCCAGCAAAACTGGTGTAACCAAAGCAAAACTGGTGTAACCAAAGAAGTCAGAGACAGGCTCCATGTAAAGAGAAGCACTGGGCACTGAGTGCTAGGGCCACACGGAGCAGGTCCCAGTGCTCACACCCTGCGTCCCCTCCCCTGAAGCACACCAGCGAAGCAGGCAGGGGAGAGGTGGGTGCATTCAGCAGGGTGGTCTCTGCTAGGGATGCTGTGCTGGCCCAGAGGAGACACTGTTGACATAGAGGGCGATCAAAAATGCAGGAGAGTATTATCTCTGCCCATAGGTGTTTGGTCATCTCTGAGAGGGTCCACTGGACACAGCCATCATCACACTTACCCGTTTCTCGCACAGCCTTCAAGACCTGGCCCAGCACAACTGTAGGAATTGAGAGGAAAAACACATATTTTAATCGCTCCACTTCTTCATATTTTGTCTGAGTTTTTTTTTTTAAAGATTTTCTTTGCTTATTTGAGACAGAGAGTGTGTAGAGCAAGAGAGAGAGAGAGAGAGAGAGAGAGCGAGAGCATGAGCAGGGGAGAGCGGCAGAGGGCGAGGGAGAAGCATGCGGGGGCTCAATCCCCGGACCCCGGGATCATGACCCGAGCCTAAGGCAGACGCTGAACCGACTGAGCCACCCGGGCGCCCGTTAGAGAGTTTTTATTAAGTCATAAGGCAACGTGTTTAAATTACCCTCACATCATTAAAATCACCGTGAATCCCAATTTTGCGGCAGTGGCTAATCATTTACTTACTTTGCATTTATTCATTTGTTCATTCTCTCGGCAAGTATCTTTGCGTACGTACTCTGGGATGGGAGCTGTACTTGCATTGAGCAAAGCAGACAGTTTCTGGCTTCTGTTACTGAAATGCTTTCACGTACACTTTGTGATATATATATAGAGGTGTAGCTGTCTCACGTCTCGCTCTAGGATGTCAGTATGGGCAGGGAAGTAAAGGACCCAAGACTACAGCCACACTGATTAAGGAGCAGGAGGAGAGGAACAGATGAGGGAAGACAAGTCTCAGTGGCCGGGAAATGGCAGTGATGATTTCAGACCCGGAACGCCAGGAAGAAATAGCAGGAGTCGGCTTCACCCCCTCCCACACGACTGAATCGTGTTACACGCAGGAGAGACAGCACTGGTCTTCAATGACTCCTGAGCCGCTGGGTTCCCATTCTAGTGGGGGAGGCCCCCATCCCCTACTTTGATTACAGGATGATGTAAAAAGGCAGAATACACTGGCTTGGAGGAATAGCAGCATTTGCCAATACAAACATCAGTAGGAAAGCAACATACTCTAATTCGACGGAAAAGACAACTCATGCTATTGTACATGGACAGACTTACAGGGCATTATGCTAACTGAAATGAGTCAGACGGAAGGACAAACACCAGAAGATTTCATCTATATATAGGATCTAAGAAAACAAAACAAATGAACAAACAAACGACAGAAATAGACTCAAATACAGAGAACAAACCTGTGGTTATGGGTGGGAAGGGGGTTGAGGGGGCTGGACAAAATGGGTGAAGGGGTGAAGAGGTACAAACTTCCAGTTGTAACAGAAATAAGTCATGGGGATAAGGAGCACAGCATAGAAAATATAGTCCCTAGTGTAATAATTCTGTATGGTGACAGGTGGTGACTATACTTTTTGTGGTGAGCATTGCATGAAGTATATAGCATTGTCGAATCACTAAAATGAATATAACATTGTGTGTCAGCTCTATTTCAGTTTGAAAAAGGAGGTCGGGGAGACTACCATTTCATGGCCTGGGAAAGGCTGAAGTACTACATTTCAAATTCGTGAACAGGACGGGGGCGCCTTCGAGCACCCCGTTTCCTATCTCGGTCAAGGGCTGGGATCGGTACACTTCTCTCGGAGGGGAGGGTCTGTTCCGTCCCCATTTCCATGCTGACCTGCTCCTTTCCCCCCTTGGGCCTTAGGGCCTTCCTCCCTACATTATACACACACACACACACACGCACACAGAGGCTTTTTCAGGCCGTGGGATGCATGGGAGGCCTTGCTATTTCACACTCTATAATCTCCTAGGAAAACCAGAAGTCAAAGACAAAAGGCATCACCAATGAATGACCACTGATAAACTCCCACCCTCCTCAAAATCTCTCTGCTCACTCGCTTGTTCTCCCCGACAAGGCCTGGCAGTCCCCAGATGGGGACACTATGCAAAGTGAGTGCAAATCGAAACTGTAAATTTGGGGACCCCATGCAGGGATTTTTGCAGCCTCTGAAGCTGCAGCGAACCTGCAGGGGTTACTAGGCCAGGAAGCTACGGACACACGAGTAGCTCAGAGGGAAAGAAAGGCCGCTTTACATCTGAAGACGTGCCTGGCGAGGACAGTGACAGGCCAGGTGCTGGAAGAGAGCCGATTCGCGCAGTGAGATGAAGAGGTCTTTGGCAAAGCTGGTTTGCAGAAATGACTGCTGAATACGAAGTCAAAGAAGCCATCTCAGACTCTCCTTCAACTGCATCAGAAAAACCATTCCCTGTCCTTCACTCGATTCATTCTTTTTTGGTTACATATAATTAGAATAGGACACATTTTGTCCTGCACCTTCACCAGAGGCAGAGCTTTGGCTCACCCGTAGGTACAGTTGGAATGGCACAGGTGGCACACGTGGTTGGCATCGGCAAACTTCCAGACCAGGGTATTGTTCTCTCCCATGACACCAGCTGGGCAGGTCTTGACGCAGTGAGGGCCGTCGATGTAGTGGGCACACCTGACACAGCTGTCTGGGCCCTGCCAGGACAGAGAGAGACCTTTATATACGTTTCTTTCTCTTTCAGAACATACTTACTGTGAAAACAGCCAATAATAATAGAAGTTCCTCAAGTAGAAAAACAACAAGCTTGTCTGGAATTGCCATCGCTTGATAGGACTGCTGTTAACAGCTTCCTATAAAGTCCTCCCGACTTTAAAGGCGCTTAGTATATAACTATACTAAGTACTTCATTACATTTTACTTAACAGATTATGGGCACCCTTCTTTGTCAAAACAATCTGATGGGTCTATGAGTACATTTACATCTTTATTGCTCAGATGGACTTTCTTGCATAACACGTTTGAGCTTCAAGGAAGTCTCTGTGGGAAGCCAGACTTGCTGAGGCCAATTTAAGAAAGCCTAAATCTATGTTTCTCTAGGGACAATAAGGCGGCTGCACAATTCACTGTGTACCGTGCTACCTCTGATTCTGTTTGTCAAACTCAGAGTGTCCTCGAAAAACTCAGAAATGACAGCATGGGGACTGCTCGGGTTGTATCCGCACACTTCACAAAGGGACTGAAATAAAACGGGTAGGGAGGGATGTGTCTGTTGGTGAAGTTCTCTGATGTCTCCGTTTTGTCCAAAGACTGAGTGTTCTCAGAACCAGAACAATCAGATGACTAAGTCAGTATCACCAGCTGATTTATATCAATGATGAAAATGTACCAACACCATGTGAACTTATAAACCAATGGTTTACTTTGTAAGTTGCCATGTTGGCAGCCTATGCTTCAAACACACAGCCTTCTGCCCAATTCAGAGAGAACTTCTGAAAAACAATTTCAATTAGCAGATTTAGGTATGGCTGTTGAAGCTCAAGTCCACACAGATGTCCTTATAAATAATATTGAGAATGAACAACATTAGGACATTGGTGTGAGGGGGACTTGAATTCTCACTTATGCTCTTTAAAACATCACATAGACAGAAAGCTGAACTTCAAAAAGTTTTGCTAGGTGTGTCTTTAAAAATGCCTTGAATAATTGTGAACTAATGTTCAATAACAATTTGATGATGTTTGATTAAAATGATGAAGCAATGACAACAGATGTCAGAAATAGTGAAAACTGGCTGACCATGTACCCAGTCTACCATAGGCCTCCTTTTGGTGAAAGAGTAGATGTCATTAAACTTGTTAGGGGGTGTTGGACAGAAAGGGTGAGTGCTCTTGCAAGGTGGGTTGCGTGATGACGTCAGCTCAACCACAGCCTCTCGGACGCAGCTGTGGGGTCCCAAGGCCCCTTGTCTGGGCTGGGATGGCTGCCTTTGGTGGTTGCAGTGATGTTGACTCATCGTCGTGGTTCTGCTGATGTCTGAGTGAATACCATCAAATGCGCTCCTCACCCGTCCTGTGCAGGTTATATTCATGGCCTGGGGCAGGCATTCTGGATGGCACTGTATGCACTCGGAATTCTCCACAAACTCCCTTGGCTCCCTGAGAGAAGAAAGGAAACTGATCAGTACCATCTCTAGCGATCTTGCTTCAAAACGCTGGGTGGTTACAACCGTCTGAGTTAATCTGTCTGAAACTTCAGGTGACGCAAATGCCCTTTCTCAGCAAAGCAAAGCAAAAAAAAAAAAAAAGGTCAACATAAAAACGTCAACATGTAACCGTTAGGAATCTCGGATTATACTGTAATATCATAAACTGACTGTATTAACTGAATCCTTGGTCATCTTCTTCCTGAACAAACCCACAAGTTTCATTTATAATCCAAACATCTTCCCTGCATTTTTCTACAAGGCACGGTTTTTGTCCATTAGGCAAACAAGCCGATAAATGAAAAAAGTAATCGTCCTTGAGAGGTGACCTCTCCCCTAATATCAGATTCATGGATATTTAAATTAGGCTGGAAAGAAATGATGAACTGTCGACAGGAAAAGGAAGGAGAGATGTTAGAACTTACTCCATGGTTATTAATAAAAACAGTAAGTATGGAACACAGGTGTGAAGATTTTTGCTTCTAAGAGTTTCGCGATTTCTCCAAGATGTCTAGATCAATGTTAAGCAAGATGATGTTTGATTGAAAAGACAAAATAGTTGTGAGAGCTATTAAGACTGAAATCTGCCTGGTAATTAACTACTGGTCTTCACTCCAGGGAACAAGGAGTGTTTACACCCCACAACACGTTCCGTAAATCCTCCCTTATGTTATCAATTAAACCAAATATGCCCAGTTGGTTTTTTTTCCTTCCCTCTTCTCTGAGTTACAATGCCTGCGGGAAGACTCAATCTTGCAGACTGAGCAAGTGCCAGACACCAGTGTTCTTTAACAGAAAGGCACCACCAACAGAGTTATTTTAATTCCTTCTCTCTCTCTCTTTTTTTAAAAAGATTTTATTTATTTGAGAGAGCGAGAGCGAGCGAGAGAGAGCACAAGTGGTGGGGGATGGGGAGAAGCAGGTTCCCCGACGAGCAGGAAGCCTGATGTGGGACTCGATTCCAGGACCCTGAGATCAGGACCTGATGAAGGCAGATGTTTCACCGACTGAGCCACCCAGGCGCCCCAGTTCCTTCTCTCTTTAAAAAGATGTGGAAACTAATATTTCTTGTTGAAACAACACTGTCAATTGTACAAAGTACTCTGTTAGGTTCCTGAGCCTATCTGCTAAAGGGTTCCTACAGAACTGGACTTGGTCTTCTCATCCTGCTCCTGAATATTTCTGGATCCAAGCCCTAGAAGTGAAACAAGAAGGAAGGTTTCCTGTAGCAATCTGTAATTCCTACGGCTCCTTCTCTCTCACAAAATTTCCCCTTTTCTTAAAAAAAAAGAAAGAAAAAAAAAGCCTCTGCCTCTCTCTGTCCTTCAATTTTACTTTCCTGTTAATTTATTTTTAGTCATTATTTGAGGACATTCAAAGCTTTATATCAATCTCAAGATTCCCAGAGAATCAACAGATAGAAATCAACTGCAAATAAATTGAAGAATAGTTATGTGGTTGGTTGTTTCTTTGTCCATGGTTACATTTAAAGTTATATGCACGGTTCAGTATTTCTTGAACATAAAACAAAAATTAACCGGGAAATGTAATTTATATTAATCTATTTTGACACGCCAGGGAGAATGTATTGCAAAGAAAAGTCTAAATGACTGTGGTCTTGGCCACACGAACCACTTAAGACTTTTCCATTTGTCTTGGGAACTTCGTGTGGCTTAGAAAAATATCAGAGATTTCCAAAACAGACACTCTATAAATTGGTGGACTGGGTTAAGCCATGAGTCCTTTTGTGATTAACACCTGTCAACAAATAAACAAAAACAAAGGAAAAAGGGGGAAAAAAGCAATAGGATCAATGTGAATAACTGTAAACCTATAAAAACAATTGCCTTATCTTTTATCAAAACAAAGGCGGTAAAAAATAACCTTACCCTTCCAGAACATTGCACTTCTCCACACATTCCCTGCCCCGGCTGACGTTTCGGCAGGACACACAGTCTTTGGGCTCTGGGCCCCAACAGCCCTCTGATGAGCATAAGGGATGGCAGACGTGGCCGATGACCTCTGAGAAGACACGGTGAGCCACAAGTGGTCAGCTACGGCACAATGACTAGAGGGGCCAAGTGAGAGCTGTAAATGAGGTGCTGGGTTCTCTGTGACCCTGAGCTGCACGGACATGCAGGGGGTGGCGAGTGGGGAGGCGGGGCACTGGAAGAAGCAGTGACACCAACTGGGCCTCTGGAGGCCAACTGCAAGTCCTTTCTCCACTGGGGGTCAAGGGTTCCCGGACTGGACCTGGGTAGCATTGTGCTGATGAACGTCACAGTTGAGGGAAACACAGGGAAGGTTTGTGGTTCCTTGCCATGTGCTGGGCACCATGCCAAGAGTTTTAAGGGAGCGGGTAACAGGGCGATGGGTACTGAGGAGGGCACGTGTTGTGATGAGCACTGAGTGTTATACGCAACTAATGAATCATTGAACACTACATCAAAAAGTAATGATGTAATATACAGTGGCTAACTGAACATAATAATAAAAAAAACCCCAAAAAACAAAAAAAAACCCCCAAATAAATAAAATCTTAAAAAAAAATAAAAAGACGTTTACATATAAAATTTCATTTCATTCTCTCACTAGCAGTGAGAATCACCGAGGAAGCCGAAGCCTAAAGAAACTAAGTAAACTGACCCAGGTCTGGAAGCTAGGAAGGACTAGAGTCAGGGTGTGAACTCAGACCTGCTTCTCCCAGTGACCAGGCAGTGCCCATGCCCTAGCTTCAACAGCTACCTGTGGCTCTACCATCAGAGTAGGAAATGTCAGTGTAAAATGTTCATTCTATCTGTATGTGTGTGCATGCGTGTGTGTGTGTGTGTGTGTGTGTGTTGCTAGCTACAGTCATCAGAGGCTGAAATGAGCAGGAAGAAGCCTACAGATAAAAGGTAAAATAATACAAAATTTAGTTCTGCAAGTTACAAATAATCGATAGCTTAAACCTCAAGGCCAATTCATCCTGTGAAATGTGAGTGATCTAGAAACTATTCCAAGGAACTTCACACAGTAACTTCCCAATTAGGAATCTAGAGATTTCTCTTAAGCTGCTTCTTCAGGAATGAAAAATGTAATTGAAAGGTTTGGGACTATTCTAAATCAAAATAGATGACCCATGTGAACCATCTCCGCAACCAGCCAGAGTGATTACTTACTGCAGCCTTTTTCATCTTTGTTGTTTATAATTTTGGTCTTCTGACTTGAAGTCCCAAATAGTTTTTTCCAGTTTATTGTATTCGCATAGCACAGTTTTTGGTTTCCTGAGATGATCACATCTCCGTCACTTATCTCCTTGAGGGAGCGTAATCCCAAGGACGTTATGTCCAGGCCGACGACCGCAAGAGAAAACTGACCACTACGGTGGAGAGAAGAAACATGACATTGTGAAAAAGTATGAAAAAATTGTATCACTAAAAACTTGATTTTTATTTTCTGGACCACCTTATGTTTACTACAAATGGCCTCCCCGTGATTCTAAGTCATATTGTAGGAAGTCTTTATTGTAGCTTTTGAAAATTACGAGAGATTTGTTTTAAGCTCCTCCAGGCAAAAGCTCATTCCTTGTTCACTTAGTATTTTTAACTCCAGGGGCATACGGGGAGCTGAATAGATGTTAATGCCATTATTATATTTACTGCCTTTTTTTTTTTTGGCCTGGGAATTGAAAGTATGTTCTAACCTCTCAAATATCCAAATATACTTCAAAAAAATCACAGGTTCATTTTTTCCATCCACGTACTCACCCATTCATCTATCCATCCATCCACTCACCATCTATCCATCTACTTGTCCATCTACTTATCTAAGCATGCATGCATCCGTCCATCCATCCTTCCACCTCTCTGTTCATCCATCCATCCACCCATCTATCCATTCATCTATCCATCCATCCATCCACCCATCTATCCATCCATCTACCCACTCATCTATCTATGCATCCATGGATTCACAATCCATCCATCCACTCATCCATCGATCCATCCACCCATTCATCCATCTACCCACTCATCTATCTCTTCATTCATGGATTCACAATCCATTCATCCACTCATCCATCTGTCCATCCAGCCACCCACCCATCCATCTACCCACTCATCAATCTATCCATCCATCCACCGATGCCCTGATCCATTTACCCATCCCTCCATTTATTGAACAAACATTTGAACCACCCAACTCTGTGCTAGAACTCTATAAGGCTATCAGTAGGTTTTCATCAAGTGACTGGACAAAAGTAATTCATGCTGAAGGGAGGGAAGTCTGGAACCACCGGGAAGAGCAGGAAGGCAAGAAAGCAGCTGATGGGTGCTGAGAACCAGGAGCTTCTGCTGGAACAGAAACCTGGAAGTGAGGAGGCTTGGGCGAGGGATCTGGGGAGGGTGGAAGAGACCAGAGCACAGAAGACCTTGGACACCTTGAGCTTGGCTGTTGTCTGCAAATGATGGAAACCACAGGGAAGAGATTTGCATTTTTAGGAAGCTTACTGGACACCAGGACAGGCAATGGACCAGTTGAGACCGCACTGAATGAGGAGACATCCGGCATAAGATGACAAAAGTTTAATTTGGAGATTCTCTTTCTCTCCTGACCCCGCCCCCCCTCCTCCCTTCCCACAACCTGGCTCCTGAGGAAAGCGAGGAGCCCTGTGTAGGAGACCTGCAGAACTACTGTTTAGAAATTCTCTCTCAACATGTACCCTATGGAAGCCCTGGGACAAAGCTGGAGTCACCTTCCTCTGGTGAGCCATACCTGGAGCCGGTGGTCACCCTGTATCACTGGACTTCTCATTAAATGTGAAAAAAAAAAAAGTGATTCTAATTTTGTTTAAATTCCTAAAACTAAGCCAAGTGGTCCATGCCAGTCACCCAAGAAAATTGATTTAAATCTCTCGTCTCTGCATGACTCTTGGGCAAAAGAAAATGTATTTTTGAGAACTCAGAACAAAGGGGTTTTTCTGGGAAGTGATGTCAGCTGCATGGTATCAGAGATGCACAGCCAAGATGGTTTTTAAAAAGCTATATATATTTTATGTGCACTTACCTTGATTTTCTTTAATATTGGATGATACCATGTTTTAGGGGCCAATTAATGGGTAACATTTCTCAGCATCAAGCTGTTTCCAAGACAGGTTTGACAAAGAGATTCTCAAACTCTTCCTCACCGCAAAACTCATTATTACTCTTACTATATTAAAGATGCTTATATGTGAGTATTTCGCTGTCAGAGTTGGAAAAGTGGAAATCCCGAACAAAACATTTAATGTGAAAAAGTCTCCCAGCTCCCTCTGATATGATGTGCTCATAAGGACATGTCACCTCGGTGCTCTTCTTGCCAAAAATGCACAACCTCAATCGAATCATGAGGAAACATCAGCCATTCTACAGAATGTTTGACCAGTACTTCCTAAAATTGTCAAGGCGACAAACGGTAAGAGTAGACACAGGGACCGTTATAGACAGGAAGGGATTGAGAAGACATAACAGCTAAGTGCAACGTGGCATTCACAGGCAAACTGGTGAAATCTGAGTGATGTCTGGCGCTGGAGTCAATGGCACTGCACCAATGTTAATTCCGCCATTTTGTACTCGTACCACCCGTAGGTGAGACGTTAACGATGGTGGGAGCTCTCTGGAGGATCTTTGTAACAGCTGTATGAGTCTAATTTCAAACTCTTCATGGGGTCTTATTTTAAAAATCGATAAATAAATAATCTACCAGGCTTTGGGCAGAGTCAACTTACTGTTGCTTTGTTCTTCCACGTATGATTTCTAGGTTCTCAAAAGCATGGAGGTCAGTCCTGTTTTCGGGCCAGGCCTGAATCAGCAGAAACCCTAGAAAGGCAAAAGGAAGGCTCAGGCCCCCACCACTTGTCTTTTTTATGAGACATTCTAGGAGTCTCGAGAGACTGTAATATGAGCAGGAGAGGTGAACACTGGATTTGATTCTTTTCTTTATCTTCACTGAGTACATACCCATGGGTAGATACAAGCCAAGGCACAATTTTACAGTGGGCACCTGCCTCTCCTATAGAATTCCCATCCCTTGCTGCATCTCTCCCGCCACCCCCCAGGCTGTCCCATGGTGCCATGGCCCTGATGGCCAGGCTGGGCTCCGTATCTGGTGACCCAAACCCGCTTCTGCTCTTGATGACAGCTGCCATGTTCTGAGCTGTTACCACACAAAAGGAGAGTCACATAATTTCCTTACTTAATTCCAGTCCTCAAAACAGTCGTGTTATTTAGGTTAGCTAGGTCTAATTACTCCCTTTTTAGGGATGAAGGCAGGGACGTGAGGTCAGTCTGTGGGCTTGAGAGCCTGTGCTGTTCCCTCAACGTTCTGTCCTTCTTTTCCCTCCACCCTCAAAAGTCACTGGGCCATCAGGATGGCTGGCCAGGGCCGAGGAGACAAGTGTTAAACATGTTCACACAAAATCAGGGATGACTCAAGTCTTTGATTAAAGTGTTCACCCCTCACATGCAGGGGAAATTGCAATCGTGAAAACTATCAAAGAACTCACTAGTTAGTCATTGATGGTAGAAGTTCAGAAGAAATGTTTTTTATGATGCTGAGAGAGAAGCAAATGCAGCTACCAGTTCTCTCTCTAGAACACCCATTTCCCATTCATGTTCATGGGATATGTTAGCGGCACACACCTGTTATTTCCTTTACAGTTTTTAGAATATCCAGTTCCTTTGGATCGAGAGGTAGAGTACGCGTGAAGGAGTCACTGAAACAAGTAACAAAATGATTATTGATTAACAACGTCTACCCGTGAACAAAGTGGATTTTGTGTTTCTCTATTCCAGTAACTTAATCTGTTACTTACCCTCTAAATGCTACGGGCAGGATATGAAGATCTCCACTGATTGAGGTGCAATTTTTGAAGTGTTTAATGTTTGTAGCATTTATGGAAAGTGTGTCTTTAAATTCACCAATTCCTATTCCATTACACACTGTAAAGTTAAAGGAGATGTTTATTCCCTTCACATATGCTGAATTCAGAATAGCTAGGGCTCCCCAAACAGAGGAGAGCAGGAAGAGAATTGTAGCCAAGAGATCATCCCCGCCATGCCATCGTTCATTCATTCAACAGTAATGGAGGCCTGCTGGGTATCAGTCACCATGGCGGGGCTTGGGGTTAGGGTGGTTGGAGAAGGGGATGGTGTCCTCATGGTGGTTGCCGCCCTCAACTGGACTTGCATTCTCCTCCTAATGATTTCCCACTTGGACTTAGCCTGATTGCTCTTAACCACCCCTCCTTGGCAGTGGGATCCACCTGCTGACGCCAGGGCCACCTCTGCCCGGCTCTCATCAGGGCATTCCCCTGACTAAAACTTGACACCTCTCGATTGTCCTAACCTGGTTGCAGTTTTCTTGTCTATTTTAAAGAAAGCATGTACCTAGCTTGTTTTTATTAAAGAGTAAGATGTGTTCATTTGACAATGTTGAAAAGTAGAATAAACGGACCAAAATGACCAGAGTTTCCACTATAGGATATTTTGAGAAGTGTTCCTTTCAGCTATCCTCCATGGTTATGTTACACCAGATATGTATTTTTTTTTTAAGATTTTATTTATTTGACAGAGAGAGACAGCGAAAGAGAGAACACAAGCAGGGGGAGTGGGAGAGGGAGGAGCAGGCTCCCCGCGGAGCAGGGAGCCCGATGCGGGGCTCAATTCCTGGACCCTGGGATCATGACCTGAGCCAAAGGCAGACCCCTAACGACTGAGCCACCCAGTATTTTTTTTTTTTTTACTTATGCTGCTATGAACATTCCTCATATTATTAAAACTATTCACGAACATGATTTTTCACAGCTGTCTTATATTACATCATAGGGAATACTGTAATAACTTTTATCAGATAAACTGCTTTTCTTCTTCCCCTGTGTTTACTTGAACCAAATGCTTTGATCTGTGTCCTATTGCTACATCAGTCTCAAATGCCCTTTTCCACACTCTGAGCCCCTTTATTAATTTATATCCACTCCTAAATTTCCATCTCAAATGCCATCTCCACCCTAAAGCCCATTTATCTGTTGTAATTCTCCCTCTAGAATTTGCAGAGCAATTTTGGTACCTATCTTCCAGACTTTATCTTGACTTTGAAGTATAATCACTGAAAATCTCATTGCTCAGGATAAGGTCCTATCCTTTCCTCCCCCCAGGGTTCTAGCAGATGCAGTCAAGCCCTGCTGCTCCCCCAACCCCCTGTGCTCCGCTCCACTGGGAGTCCCTTGTTGCTTCCAAGGAAACCTTCCATTGCTGACTCCAGTGGCCACGACTGTCCCACCAGCCACTACTAGGTCTCCGGGCTCACCCTGGGGGCCAGCCTCCTCTCTGGTTCAAGGAGCTGCTCTAAGGAGTCCTGTGCTGAAGGGCTCACTCAACCTTCCTGTGCTGCATCTAACACACTATGGGTTGTGGGGCTCATGGCCAGGCTTCTTTAGGATCCACGGGAGCTGGCTGACAATGGAGAATGAGGTGGTCATATGAGGACTTGCCATTTAATTACAGGTCTGGCAGAGAATTCCATGTGCTTGAGAGAATGTTCGTGCCGTCTCTCTGCTTGTGTGTAACAGTGATGGCGGGGTTACTTTAATTCCTAAATTACATATCCACCCCTAGACACTGCTGGCACCTCCTTCCTTACCCAGTGGTACTGCCCTACGCCCGAAGCGATCTGAATTAGAGGATGTATAGAAAAATAGGGCATAATAATTATAGGAAAATCAAACTGTTTGTTGAACACAAAATTAACAAAATAAAACCCAAACCATCTCTGATTCTATCAATCCTTTTGAGGACGCTGACAGTAACCCTCTTCTCTTACTTCCCCTGTGCCAGGCACCACCCCACATTCTCATTTTCCTCCTTCCATGTCTGCTCTGCTAGACAGTTTCCTGAAGCCAAAGGATATTCATCCATCAGGGCACTGACCCGCCTGCCCCACAGGAGTTAAAAGACCAGGAAGACACGGACTTGGCTGACAAGCTCATGGGTCTGGCTTGGGACCAAGACTGCATGAACTTCAAATCTTGACTGCCATTCTTAGCTGCTGAAACGCGGGAAAGTCATTTAGATTCACTGTTCCTCAGTGTCCTCATCTGGAGAATGGGGATCGTAATAACACAGAGGTCCCAGTGGCGTTGGGAGGATTCCATGACACGGAACAGGGCAGCTGAGTCTGCCCCGTGGAGAACATGTATGAAATGTGTATGGGAGCAAAAAGGGACTGAAAAGACAGATGGCTTCACAGGGAAGGTGGCACCTGAGGTGGATGCCCAAGGTAAGCAGCTATGCGCTCAGGTGTTGTTTATAATAGCAGAACAGTGCCACGGGTGCCTGGGTGGCTCAGTTGGTTGAGCGACTGCCTTCGGCTCAGGTCATGGTCCAGGAGTCCCTGGATCGAGTCCCGCATCGGGCTCCCTGCTCGGCAGGGAGTCTGCTTCTCCCTCTGACCCTCCCTCCCTCTCATGTGCTTTCTCTCTCTCTCATTCTCTCTCTCTCAAATAAATAAATAAAGTCTTTAAAAAAAAAAAAGAACAGTGCCACAATCTAAATGGCCACGTAAAGGGAGATCCATTGAATAAATTACGGTACGGCCACAGAAGGGAGCCTATGTAGCTGCACCACAGAATGAAGAAGATTCATATGAACTTATCCGGAGTGATTTCCAGGATATATTAAGGTTAAGCAGCAAAGAACAAAGAGTTCTTTGCTGCTTAAGGTAGACAGTACCTTTTGGGTAGAAGACATGACCGGGACGTGGGATGTGCCGAAGGGACGCAGGAGCCATCTGGAGAGGCTCCTACTGGCCACGTGTGGGGCAATTTAAGTACCCGAAGGAACGACAGGAATGGATTGTAAGAAACTGAATGAAGAAGGATTCCATGACCTCACATGGGAACTAATTTTTTTTTTTTTAAATAAAGAATGCCAACTAATAAATGGGATGATAGAAATAGAAAATCACTCTTTTATACCCACCAAGATTATCTTATCTAAAACTTGTCACCATCAGTAATGAAATAACATGGCATCATATGTCACCTGATTTAATACAATGAGAGGAAATCAACATGACCTATGCAATGCTCCTGCCCAAACACCCAACCTGAATGCGGCCATGAGGAAAAACAGTCAATGAAGCCAAACTGAGGGACATTGTGCAAAACACCTGGGCTGGACTCTTCACATCTGGTCATGGAAGAGAGAAGAAAAGCAAGTAGGGGAGGGGAGTTGTTGATTAACAAAGATAATGAAGATACGAATCACAGTTGTTGATTAATGACGATAATGGGGGCAGGACATCTACCCGAAACCCATGATCGTTGACTGGGTTCTGGACCGAGAAGCAGCTAAAAATGACTTAAGTGGGACAGGGCGTGGGGGAGGTCTCAGTCAGGGGATACTAGAAAAGACTATTGAGTTGATGTTAAATAATCCTGAGTGTGACCCCGTCTTCCATTACTGAGGAGAATGTCACCATTTGTGAGAAACATGCTGACAAATGTAGGGATGAAGTGTTACGATATCTGTAACTGTCTTCTGGTTCAGAAAAAACCTTCACCCGTGCATGCACACATCCACATAGGCACACACACATAAACACAGTGAAAGCAATGTGGCAAAATATTAAAAAGTGGTGAATTTGCGTGAAAGGCATCCGGGAGTTCACTGCCCTACTCTTGCAACATTTCTGGGTGTCTAGAAATTTTTATAAAAAAGATAAAGTAAGAGGCATATTAGTGAGCGGGAGAGGAGTGGCACTGAGGGGCCTCCAAGAACGGGGCACTGTTGGGAAGGAAGGAAGGACTTTCTGAGCCTGAAGGAAGAGATTTGCTCAGATGTCTTCCAAGTAGGATGCCGAGGGGGCCTGGTGGATGTGGGGCGAGTCAACCCCGGCTTCGTGAGCAGACGGAGAGCCTCGTCCCTGCACGCCGCAGGCTTCCTACCTTTTCGGCAAGGCCCCTCACACTTTTTACATTTGCGGACGCCATCTTCCTCTACCTCGTAGTTGTCGGAACTGCAGGCACGGACGCACGAACCGTGGTCTGTCACCACGTAGTTACCTGGAGGGACGAGGAAGAAAGGTGGCGAAAGCAGCACCAGGTGTTTCGGGGCCTCACACAATTGCCTCACGGCCTCTCCTATAAAGGGGCTGATGAAAAGGGCCTACCAGCCTCTGGTTTTATTTACTTTAAGGACAAAGAATGAACGGTGGCAAACAGAAAAGGAGTCAAGTTCAGGAGTTTTAATAGCTTATCAAACTGGCAGGAAACAGATGTGGCAGGGAGAACATGGGGCCTGCTCGCAGGTTTAGAACATCTCTTCGCAGCTCAGTTTTCTGTCGGTTCAGCCTTCAGGACCTGTGGTTAAAGCCTGAACACTCACTAAAAATAAGTGACCCTGAACAGAGCCCACTGTTCCACGGAAGCTTCCACATCTGAGGATGCGTGTAATTCTCGTGGCCAACGGGCTGCCTTCCGTGGTCCTGTCCGGCCTCATGGGACAGGACCTGGCTGGGGGGCTGGCACCACCAGCTGGCTCTGCATCGAACCAGGCAGATGGGTCATCTTGGGAGCCTCCCCTCACTTTAGAGTAATGTATTTGTGTTAACATTAACACGGATACCAGCATGTTTCCGGAGCCCTATGTGTTCCTGTCTTGACTTCCCCAAGTACATCCTCAAACATATTTGCTGGATAGTTGTAATTGTCCTTTCGGTAAATCGTCTGCTTTTGTTCTCAGGCTCCGGTTTCCTGTGGATTTTTAAACTCTACCTATTAAGCCCTCTCTCAAAGATTATACCTGTGTCAGAATTGTGACAAATTAAAAAATTTTAGTAAGTTAGTTCCATACAGTGGTATATTATTCTATTTATGTGTTATTTTCTTCTGTTAGAACTTAAAAGTTTTCCTGTCCACAAATCCGGTAGGGCAAATCTCCTGCTCATAGCTGGGCTTACAATTTTTTTCTCTTACTCTCCCCTCCTAGAAATCAAGATTGGTTTCTAAAGCTCTTTAATTAGACAGTGCTACACTCTCTCTATGAGGACATAATTCATACCATCACTTTCCTGAACATTATAGCCACCTATTGAATGCAAATACAAATAAGCAAAACCCAACCTGAAACAATTAAAACAAAACCAAACAAAACACAAAGAGACTCCTCTGAAGTTTTAGTTCCCTTAAGAGGCACAGTTTTCACCAGAATTTTAAGCACTAAAGCAGGCACGTCTTCCGACACACTCTCTAATTTAGGCCTTTTTGATAGCTGCTGGGCACAAAAGGCTAAACGGTGAAGTGGCCCAAACTGACAACTGAACGTTCTGGACTACTACAGCCGGACCTCGGTCCAGGGTGTGTTTCCTGTCCTGGCCACCACGGACTCGAGAAGAGATGCCGGTGAACAGAGCACCAGACATCGCCTGTCACCTATGGCAGTGGCCTGACCCCTCACCTGTGCACTCGGACAGGCCCACGGTCACCTGCCTGACAGTGAGGCAAACATACGGACCCAAAGACTCCCTGAGACAGGGGACTCAAGGATCCCAGTAGGAGACAAAGAGGAAATCGACTGCCAGATAAATGAAAGGTTTTCACATGGGATGAACTCACGGGGGCATTTCTTCACGCAAGTGGCACCAAAGCTGTACTTTCCTTCTGGGTTGACATCCATCTGGTAGGTGGTGGGGTTGTACAGCATGAGTGGCGGGCAGGTGTCCTTGCATGTGGCTTCATCGCGGAACTTGCGGCAGACCTGTCACAGGAGGGACGACACGCACTGGTCAAGCTGGGCAAGGACGCTCAGGATTGTTCCAACTCTGTGCAGAAAGCTCAGGTTCGTGTTCTTAATGTCCAGGAATTTGATTAAAGCAAAAACAAACAACCCCCCCCCCAAAAAAAACTAGCCAAGTACTTTCAGAAGATTCAGAAAGACCTTAAAAGTATGATTTTTCGGGTACTGTCCTAGCTGTGGTAATTTAGGGATTATGATGATAAAAACCCACATCTTTATTAACTTGTAAAATGATGAAGGAGTTCACATACTGGAGTGGTCCCTATGGCATGAAATTATTTCTCAACTCAATTTCCTAGCTTTCCCTTATAAAGAAAACTTGAGGATGTGTTTTAGAATTTACCGCCAAACTGCAGAAAACCCTGATGAGGAAGGCTATGGTGCACAGGGGACCAGACCACAGACAGTGGTGGCCCGAAGACCCACAGGCCGTCTCCCCTCCAGCGACACATTAGCATCAGCCCAGACCAACCACGTCACAATCCCTGGGGCCAGATGCAGCCTCTGGAATTAAAAAAAGCACCCCCTCCCTGAAACCAGAGTCTTCAGGATTGCCCCTTCTCTGGAGCCTATGAGGGTCTCATCACACTTGGTGCTGCATCCAGGACTCAGGTCTGCCGGCGCCGGTGTCTCTAGGACGCCCAAGGTGCGTGCAGTTGAGGTGCCACCTACATGTGGTGCCCACCGCCCACCGGGGTGAGAAGGCTTTTGTTAGGGCTTTCTGCAATAACAGGGACAAGAGTGAGTACTTCAGGACCTTCAGGAGGCCCTGAGCTGTGGTGGAAAGAGCAGAGGGCCTGGGTCCGAGGGTCCACGTGCAGCTCCAGCCGTGCACTCAAGTCTGTGTGGCTCTGGGTACGTCCCTTACCATCTCTGTATATTTATGTTAGGGCCCTTCTGGTATCAACTCGGTGGGTCTCGACTGAAATGGAGCAATGGAGAGTGTGACAACAGTATTGCTGGCCACCAAAAACGCTAATGACAGACACCTCGTATTTAGTACTGCCGCTCACCCTACGCCCAGGTCCTGGGCACGGATGCCACGGGCACTGTGTCATCCGGACCTCGGAAGAGGCGGTGTTTACTGCCCACCATTGAGTCGAGGAAACCGAGGCACAGAGGGGCCAAAGAATTTGCTCGAAGTCACAAAGTCAGTGGCGAAGGCGGGACATTTAAAAGGTGCTTTGTCCCTTGGCAACGGGCAGCCACCGTATGTGTGGTAATTTCTCCCATAGGAAGCCAGAGAAGGCCCCCCACCCCTGGGGGGAGGGGCAGTCGGCCGGGGGGCTGGGTCGGCCTTACCAGGCAGTCGCTCTCGCGGGGCCCCGTGCAGCCGGCGGCACACTGGTTGTGACAGCAGTCACTGGGGGACCTGCCACGGCAGCGCCCTGAACACTGCTGGGCACAGATGATTTTGGTCACTGAAAAGGAGCAAAGGGTACTCGTGAGCTGAAGAGCCAGGGAGGGTGGAAGGGCCATTCCGCAGGAGCCTCGCAGAGCACTTGCACACAGTTGGTGAAAAGGCGAACAAAATGACGAATTTAGTGATTCCCTAGAGCGTTCAAGTTCCCGAACCTTCACACTCTGCCAAAGAACACTGAATAGTGACCTTTCTTTACGGCACCTCGTTTTTTTCCTACTGCTCTCTAGGACGAACCAGATCGAGTCTAGACTTCTCGACCGGCTCAATAATTACATGCTAGTTAGAACTGAGATTTGGGGTGATATGGGAAGCCCATCAAGGAACAAAAAGCTCCTGCCAGAAAGTCGTGTTTAAAAGGATGAAACAGTCACATCACAATGAAACCGAAGGACAGATGCTGAACTTTTAAGGCGGAGGTCCCCAGATTCCTTGGCCACCCATGCTCCGAAACTAGGATTCCTGCAGAAAAACCCTCCTGAAAAGCTCAGTTCCCGCTTCTGTGTAGATGGGCCCCCAAGGCAGAGAAAACGAGGGATGTTTGTGACCCTCCGGTAACAACATGGGCGAGTCTTCTGTTCCCAGGAACAGGCCCAACACATGGCTCTAAGAGCCTGGCTGGTATCTGTGTGGCTGACTTTCACTCATTTATGACACGCTGAAGTGCCCAAAATAGCCCACACTGGATTAACCGCGTGCACGGAGATCTGCAACAATGTCATCCACGTAACTGCCAACATCTGGCCTTTGGGAGTCTTCAAAAGGGAAAACACACACAGTCAGCTAAGTGTAAGGGGAGGAAAGCGGGCACACATTTATCTGAAATTCTGCTTGCTGACTTACATTTCTGGCAATTCTCCTTTCCCGGACCCCAACAACTTCCATCGGGACAGTCTGGATCACACTTTTGGCCTAAAATGTAAAAGTAATAGTTAAATTCATATCTCAGAGGAAGAGAACTGGTGGTAAGAAACTGGCGACAAGCCCCTGAGCAAAGCGACGTTCTAGAAACAAGGAACAGCTTTCAAATTTCTAATTCTCCATTTGTCTGTTTGCTGGTTGGTCTGTAAGATGACTCAAAGGCTTTCATTTTAAAAAATAAATAAATAAAAGAGAGATGAACCACGTTCTGCTTTTATTTACATTTCAGCTGCAGAAACTGAGGCAGAGAGTAATTATTGACTTGTCACGGGTCAGGAAAACTGGGGTTCAAATGGTCCAGTTTCCACATGTGTTTAGGCTTGGAGAATCTTCCAGCATCTCCAACAGTGCTAAGGGAGTCTAGTCTGGTGGGGTGGGTATGACCCACTACATCCTCACTATGCCAGTCTCGAGTGACCCGAGGGTCAGTGATCCCAGGGGACATGGGGTCCTGCAAATAAAAGACTCCTAGACCTGAAGCCAGACAGAGGCACGGACTGCTCACAGGGTCAGATGTTCACAGGGTGCATCACCTTGCTGATAGGCTAAACTTAAGCTATTGATCTGTGAGCTACTGTGTGGAAATAGTTGATGTCGATCTATTAGTTTTTGCAGTGATCAACTACAAATCACAGCTACAAAGATTTTTTAATCTCATTAGTTGCGTTTCATTTTCATTAGCATTGAAACACCTGAAGACCAAAGCCTCCCATCTATATAAAGACAACAGGCCGACTACGAAAGTTTGTTTAAAGAAGATCAGCAGGGCAGCTGTCTTTCATTGCAAAGACATGAGACCTTCCAGGAAGGAGTTCCTACGTGTCCCAAAGTCTCCTACAGTCAGGAAGAATTTAATTTCTGGTAGACTCTAGATTTCAAATGGAAGAGCTGAGGATTTCCCAAGTTACTGTGGAACCAGGACACCCCTTTCATTAGACTGACAATCCTTCCAATCACCCCAGGGGTGAAGGGCAGCAATGCAATACTGATGCTCCTAGGAATCATGAGAGATGGTGAGGCCAAACCCCAAATGCACAGTGTGGGCTGTGCATTGTGAAGAAGAGAGGGACAGAGACAGAGAGAGAGAGAGAGCTAGAGAGACGGGCAGGAACAGGAAGAACAAAAGCAGTACACAGAAGTGTTAAAAGTGCTTGTTTGCACGGTGATACGTTATTTTTACTGTTTACCTTATTCTTCCTCATATTTCTCAAATCCCTATTATAAGCATGTAATAGGTTTGCAAAACAAAAATATTTAAAATGAAATGAAAATGCTTAATGGCATCTTCCTATAGTGGAGAAAACATCTGCCAACCAATGAATCAAGGTTTCCTTATAATTCTATTATTAACCCTCTGTTACAGAAAAGGAAATGCAGGCAAATTATATAAAATTTGGATAATAGAAAAAAGCAAAAGGAGGAAATGAGGATCATCCAGATGTAATCAATATATACATGTAAGTATATGCCTATATAAGTATTGATGTCACACTAGACTTTGATTCATAACTTGAAAAAAGCTAATAAAACATTATGGCAATTTTTCCATGCCTTTAAATATCCTTTTACATAACATGATTTAAAAAAAAAAAAAAGATTTGATTTATTAATTTGAGAGTGAGAGCATAAGCAGAGGGAGGGGCAGAGGGAGAGGGAGAAGCAGACACCCCACTGAGCAGGGAGCCTGACATGGGGCTCAATCCCAGGACCTGAGCCCAAGGCAGATGCTTAACCGACTGAGCCACCCAGGCGCCCCCATAACATGATTTTCAATGGCATGGCTGTACCATAATTTCTTTAACTAATCTCTTATTTTTAGATATGTAAGTTGTTTCTAAAATTCATTATAGGTAAGGCTGCAAGGAATATTCTTGCATAAAAATATTTTTCTATATCCTTATACTTTTCACTCCCCGTATTTTTTTCTTAGGATTCCTAGACATGAGGAGTGCATACTTTAAAGCTTCAATACATATTGCTAAAATTCTATCCCTGACCATATTTTATTAGCTTATATGCCCTCAAGAAGAAGATAAGAATTTCTGCTTCTCCACACCTCTCCTGATCCAGGTATCTAAAAATCAGAAGGAATCCAAATCTTTTGCAAAGGCAAAAATGATGCTTCTTTATTTTATTTTGACCTTTTAAAAATTATAGTAAGAAATAACATTTTATTTTATTTCTTGGCCATCTTGTGTGTGTGTGGGGGGGTACAAACTGCTCATGTCTTTGGCACTTTTTTTTTTATTGGGAGGTTCACCTTTTTCTTAGGATACCTAAGACTACTCTATACAGTCATATTATCAAGAATATTAACCCTTTTCAAGGCAAGCAGATGATGCACAATATTTTCCTGTTTGTCGTTAAGATTTCTTCCTATAGAAGTTTTCTTGTATGGTATCTGACTGGGCTTTTCTTCAGCTTGATATTACAAATATGCATCTTTACGTTTCCTTCTAGCACTTACATATATATTCGGTAACTTATTATATATAATGATTTGTAATTTATATTGGTGTACAAAGTGGATGACATTTATTTTAATTTCCCCTTAGGTAAACCCACCCAATCTAACTTCAAATTCCGAACTACATCAACAAAAACATCATGTGGGGGCACACTGGGTAACCTTTCTGAATCTCAAATCCATTGTCCATAAAATACTTAAATCACCTTATGAGATTTTTTTGTGGATAAAAATTAAATGAGACAAGTTCTCAGAAGGCATGTGTGGCCTGAAAAGCTCTAGGCAAGGACAGGGTTTACCTTACCACAAGGAGAATGGCAGGTTCCTCACCTTGTCACTGGTCGGCTAATTAATGAGAATGCAGGTAGTCGGTGAATAGCGTTCTTTTTTTCTAAAAAATCCTGATAGTTCTGGCACTTTGATATTTTCCCTTAATAGTTCAATTATTCTGGAACGATTTACTGAATAATAAATTATTCTTCCCTCATTTGCTTGAAATGTCCTTTCTTTATGGACGTTTAATTTAGCGAGGCTTATTCGTACTGAATTTCTCTTGTATGTCTGTGGCTTATTCCTACATGTCTATTCTTAACCCAGTACCTATCAGTCTGCAGTTCATAGCTCTGTCATATTTGAATCTTGTTATTGCAAGATCCTTCCTTCCCAACATTTTCTTTCAGGGTCTTTCCCATGGTCTTGGTGTGATGAGGATGGGTGTGCCATTTGAGCTGCTCGATCTAGTCGATGGCAAACCCATACTAGTCCCACAGCCTTCCTGTGTCAGTTTTTCTGTTGTTGTTATAAATGGGCACAATTTAACCTCCCCATTGTCCATCAGAGAGCTGAGGAAAGGTTAACCTTGATGTCACGGATAATACAAAATTTTGCACTGTAGATTAAAGTTTTCAGTTTCTTGCCATGCTGAATATCTGTCGGAATAGTACATCTATAAAACAAAGGGGCTCAACACCCAAGTTCATAGCAGCATTATTCGTCACTGTCAACAGGTGGGAGCAGCCTAAGAGCTCATCAACTGATGAACGGATAAACAAAACACGTGCACACAGATATCCACACAATGGAATACTCCTCATCCATATAAAGGTAAGAAATTTTGATACGTGCTACAACACAGATGAAACCTGAGGACATGAGGTTAGGTGACAGAAGCCAGTCACAGAAAGACAAAGACTATGTGACTCCACTTATAAGAGGTCCCTAGAGCAGTCACACTCGTAGAGGCGGAAAGCAGCATGGTGGTTGCCAGGGGCTGAGGGAGGGGGAGTTCCTGTTTAACAGAGACAGTTTTGTAAGATGAAAAGAGTTCCAGAGATGGATGGTGGTGATGACTGTACCACAGTGTGAATGGACTTAATACTACCGAACTGTACCCTTAAAAATGGTTCAAATTTTATGTTAAGGGTATTGCAATACAATAAACAAACAGAGAAATAAAATAAGATACAATGAAGTAACAATAAAGGGGATCTAGTCAATTTTGAAGATCCACGTGAGCTCCAAATTCAGCCCCACCCCACCCCAAAAACAACAAACAAACAAACAAACAAAACACAAAGAAACCCCAACACAAAAACATGCATCCACTGCACAGTTTAGGGAAACAGAGAAGCAGGAAATGGTGATGACTTCTTATTTTAAAAGGACTGAAAGACCAGGGAGATCAGGAAGGGGGAAGCTAACTGGAGCTTGGTAACTGTAAGCATGTGTCTTCAGAGTTTCCCACACAGCGCTGCCAAGGGGCCAAGTGGTGCAGGCCTGACCTACAGCCTGGCCCCTTGCCAGCTTCCCCCTGGCATGGGCCGCTTCGCCAATGAATGGCAGGGACAAGGTCATGGGCACTAAAGGGAGTATGGACAAACACCCACCCTGTGCACTGCGCCCAACTTTGCCTGGGGCTCTAGGTAGGAGGCCAGAGGTTAGCTTACGTGCTTCCGGAGGGCCTGGCATTGCTCTGTGGCTCAGCAGCCTGTCGGAAGCACACAAAAGTTTGGCTTGTCTCGTCTAGGCAGCCTGGGAGAGGCCCCCGGGCCAGGACTGACGGCTCTTCTCAACGGCCACACGAGGGCTCAGAGGCCAGGGGTGGGGGGTGATCTGCCCGGTTAGCAGGCATGCTGACTGTCACCACAAGAAACAAACTTTCCCTCTGTCTTGAGTAAGTGCTTTTCTAGCGGGCAGATCAATTGTTTACTAGTTACTTTTGGTTTGGATTAATCTGCTTCTGCCACCCCCCTCCCACCCCAACATGCTACAACTCTGTCCCCACCCTAGGAGCTACAGGCAGAGGGGACGTTTGTGGAACTTACAACTGCCCGCTTGGTTCTGGAAGTCCATCGACATATTGCTTACAAAATCGCTGTCAACGATATCCCGCCACTGGATGGTTTCCACGTTGCAGAGGACAGGGTTGTTGCTGAACCGCACAGCTCCTTGTAGGATTTCTGCATGTGAAAAGAACCTCAGTTATCGAAAGGCCATGTCTTTAAACCTCCGCAAAGTACGTATGCATTTTTTTTTTAAAAAGATTTTGTTTATTTATTTGAGAAAGAGAGAGAGAGAGAGCAAGCATGAGAGGGGGGAGGGTCAGAGGGAGAAGCAGACTCCCCGCTGAGCAGGGAGCCCGATGCGGGACTCGATTCTGGGACTCCAGGATCGTGACCTGAGCCGAAGGCAGTTGCTTAACCAACTGAGCCACCTAGGGGCCCAATGTATGCATTTCTTTACATTTGGATTTCTGCTAAAACAAGGCCAGCGTGCGAACAAGTCTTCCCATAGTGCTTTGCGGGGGGGGGGCGGGGGCAACTATCAGAATTCAGAAGTAAGGGAAGGAAGGAAGTTGTATGATGGTGTGAAGGGGCAAAGGGGCAGAGGGGGGTGGCAGTCACCCACTGTGGGCTGGCTAGGCCAGGAGAAGGGGGCGATGCTGTGAGCGGCTTCTGGAGCTCCTCACTGGAAAAGGTAGCAGGGGAGTGAAGGGGGCTGTGAAGAATCTCTATGTACGATGAAGAGATGGCAGACGCCAGGAATGCAAATGGCATGAAAGACTATGATTGTTTCCCAGGAAGAAATGATACGACTTGGAAAATCAGGAATGATTAAAAAAAATGCAAGCGTGAGCAGAGGGAGAGTGTTGCATCTATGACAGTTGACAGAAATGGTTACTGAATGAGTTCTATGCACAAAACGCTGCAGCTATGGGTCTGCAACGATGAAGTGGGTCTAGGAGCTGACAGGCAAGGGCCTTACAGAACACCTACAATCTGCAATCATGAGAAGTAAAAAGAAGGCAGCAAAGGTGCTGGATGATTCGGGTGCCCCTGACTGGGTAGCTGAGAAGAGAAAGAGATCATCAGTCTGGAAGCAGTCATTCTTTACTTTTACTTTCCATATTTAATGATTTTATTCTTCATGGTGGGCACTGAGTTAATTATTCATAACCGTACTTAATTAATATTGAATAATTCACATCAAATAGTTATTTAATAACAATAAGTATTCTGCACGTATACAACCCCATACCAACAACAGAAATAACAGCAACTATAGGAACAACTCCTAAGTGCTTTTCCATAGTAATACCCTTGATTTTCTCAACACCCCTAGGAAGTGTGTTACAATTGTTATGCACATTTTTAAAGAGGAGGAAGCTGAGACACAGAGAGAACCCACTCCAGGGGCATCTGGCTGGTGAGTGATGGAGCCAGGACTGGCACCCAGACAGTCTGGCTCCGGGGTCCACGCTCTTAACCACATCTGCCTGTCACCATGAGATAGCATGAGGCCAGACAGGCAGATTGAGGCATGCTGAATGTACGTACCATTTTGCAAAATGTGTAAATAGCACAAATTAGTATTAGCATAAATGCAGACCATGTTGCGTGGGTGCTCTGAGCAGCTAAAGTGGTGGGTGGGAAGTCTTGGGGCAGTTTTATAGGATGACCAAGCCCAGGAGCCCGACTAGAGGGCTGTGCCAGCCGCCTCTGAGCCGGGGTCTGGATGCCTCGCCTCATTCCAGCACTGCTGTCTGCCAGGTTCCGCCATTCCCGGGACCCCCGATACACCCTCTGCTGTCATCCCCCCTTTCCTGGTGGGCCTGTTTCCCCATCACAATTGCACAGCACATGGGAAGGGTAAAGACTCGGACGGCAGAGTTAGATGGCCATTCCTGGCCATTTTTTCACGAATTTGGGACCTTAGGAGGATTACGTTGCCCCCATTCCTCTATGGGTAAGATGATGGGAGTGTAAACACCTGCGCAGAAGGAAGGTGGTGGGCGTGAAGTTCCCGATGCAACAGGACTGGCACCACACCTGCCACACAGCGAGGGCACGCTCCGCATTATCTTCAATTTCGTTGAAATCAACTTCCTGTCTCTTCTACCATCTTCCTTAGCTTCCACTCGGAGGACCCTCATGAGTGTCCTACTCACGGGAATTCAAACTCCGCAACACCGTCATTCTCTGTCCTTAACTTCATTGTCCTTAAGTAATGCTCTGGGTAACAGCATTACTCTGAAAGCTGTCTCCAATAGGGGTGGTTTGTTCTTTTTTTTTTTAAGATTTTTTTTTTTTAATTTATTTATTTGACAGAGGGAGAGAGAACACAGAGGGAGGGTGAGGGGAGAAGCAGACTCCCCGCTGAGCAGGGAGCCCGACATGGGGCTTGATCCCAGGACCCCGGGATCATGACCTGAGCCAAAGGCAGCTGCTCAACCGACTTGAGCCACCCAGGCGCCCAGATTGGGGTGGTTTTTAATGTACGTCCTTTATACCTGAGGTCCAGGTAATAATAGGATTGGCAGTTTATTCACTCCCTAGGCACAGAGAGTCTGCATCCGAGCCAAGGTCGTCCGGTGTCTATTTCCCAGAACCATTACCATTTCTTACGAACTCTCTGGATATTTCCCCACAAATATAGGAGAAGTGGTACCTGGTTTAAATCTTCCCTTCCCATCACTGACCATGTTCTTAGTAACTTCTACCAACTACATCTTGCATGTAGCGGACACTCAGTGCATTTGTACTTGATGAATAGAAGTCCTCTGAGTGGCCTTAAGAGAAGGGACGGGTTCGCTGAGTACCACCTCTGCACCCAGAGCCTCCGCGCGCCCGGGCCTCTCACCGTGTAGATTTCTCAGGGGAAGCTCCTGCAACCCGGTCTTATTTGTGCCGTAATTGGATAAGACGGATAAGGCATGGGTGTTTTCATAGAGCACATTTCCTCGGATGATCTGCAGGTTTTCCAAAGGGATCCTCTGTACCGTGTTGAGGGCAATGAGTACGTAGCCAGCAACTTCCTGGATGGTCTAAGGAGATAAAATGTGACCATGTTACTTCTCTTGTGAGGAACTCAAGAATGCCAGGTGGAAAATGGGTCAAGGAAGCACGCACACAAGTGACTGACGAACGTAAGGCATGTAGATGACTTCAGTGGGGACAGAGCAGGGGCGGGGGTTACAGGATTTCTGATGACTCCTGCACTTTTGCCCCCTGAGCGTGCTGGCAATAACAAAGGGCAACGTGCACTATTTAGGAATGCTGTGATTCTCATTTCACGTGGTGTTTGGGATACTCAGAAGAAAATGAAAACATTTTATTAATTTCTTTTGTATCTGTCTTGCATGCTCTCTTATTAGAAAAAGAAAAACCCAGAGGGCCAATCAAATCCAAAGTTCAACTAGGACCAAACTCTGAAGCCTTCAGAGCTGGCTCCTATTGGCTCACTAGAGCCTACTGTGAAATATTTGGGAAACGTGTGAAGCGGTGTAGCTGGAAATCAACTATAATGGGAGTATGCAGGAAAATGCTACAAAGCAGGCTTTTTTTTTTTTCCCTTAAAGAGCCAATATACCAGGATACCACAGCTAACGCAATGGTTAGACATTTAATATCAGGGTCTATGATGATAGTGGAATTCCAGGCTGGCCTGTTTCTCTTTGCCATTATTTCATAGCTGTAACTTGATACTAGCTGGAGAAGTGGTTTTCTGATAAAACTTGCATCTGTAGCTCCTGAGGACTTGTAACTGGCATAGTAAAAGAAATACACTAAGGTCTTTATCTACTTATATCTCCTTCTATCATATTTGGGTAAGACAATCAAAGTGATGGAACTAACCTTTAAGAAGGAAAGGTCATAATTCCTTTGCATGTAGGTAATTTCCAAATTCCCAAGGACCACCTCACAGTTATTGAACATCCTCTGAAGGCTGAGAAAGTGGTCTTCAAAAGTGCCCAACTGGGTGAGTCGGTTACTTGTGCCTTGGCAAACTGCAAAAAAGGAAAAAAAAAGAAAGATATCACATGAAATGCCAAGTAAAGTAGCGAAACTAAAATAAAAGGTTCACACATTTCAACTAACTTTGCGAGTTTCAGTGACTTACAATATTAATTCCGATAAAAGGTCACTCAAGACCAGTGGGGCAAGAAAATGTTTGTCTATGTATATAAGGTATAGTTCATAATAAGAGACAGCTCATTCCTATAATGCAGAGAGTCATTTTAAAATGTTAACAATTCCAGGGGAAATAGGGGAAAATTCTATGAAAATCTTTAAGACAACATAGTCTTTTTTTTTTTTTTAAGGTTTATTTATTTATTTGAGAGAGCGTGAGTGTGAGCACATGGAGCGGAGGGGCAGAGGGAGAGTCTCAAGCAGAGCCCAACACGGGGCTCAATCCCAAGACCCCGAGATCGCAACCTGAGCCAAAACCAAGTGTCAGACACTTAACCGACTGCACCATCCAAACACCCCAAGACAAAACAGTCTTTCAGACCTTTGGTAGACCATAAAAATGTGTACCATAAGGTATTTAAATAATATAATTACAATGTTGAATAACTACATAATGAACTTTTTACTTTACAAAAAAGATAGAATATCACATTACTGTGTGTCCAAAGGATATTTACAAACATAACATACACTAGCCCGTATTTTCTGACCACAGCGTTGTACAACTTAAAATCAATGGCAAGAGTGTCAATTAAAATCCAACTGGCCAGAGATTAAAAATATTCTTCTAAGCTAATGCATCAAAGAATAAATCAAAGGACTAATTATAGATCTAGAAAATAATGAAATGGAAACATACATTTAAAAACACACTCAGCTACTAAGAAACCGACATGTCCTTCTGTTTGTCCACGAAAGCCACCCAGCACAGGTGGAGGTGTGATTGCTTTGCATTCTTTGGCAGGACGCAGCCTTGGCACACTTACCTCCCAAATGTTTTAACTTAATACAAGAAATAGTTTAAATTAGGGGATGAAGTTAGCCTATGGAAATCACTTGACAGTCTATATTTAAAAGCAAAGGAGATCATAATAAAGTCATATTTACAAACCCAGCTCTTTGAAAGACATGTTTAAGCAAGCATACCAAAACAAAGAGGTTGGGGCTTTTGAAGCAGGGAGCTTGTTAAGGGACTACACTTTGAACCAAAATTACCGTAAGAGTGAAGAAATATGGCCTCTGGCTTTGGAGGTTAGATCCAGAACGAGCCAGGTTCTGCCACATGTGCAAAGGCATGATTGTAATCAGTGGCCAGGTGGTTGAACACCAAAACAAGGCCAAAGTCAATATGCAGGTACTTTCCTCAGAAACTCTTTCTAAATTTACATCTATATTTTATAGTCTTCTTTGTTCCCTCCGCATGGGAACTGCTCTGAAGAGCATCGTCTGACCGTCTGCCCTTGCACCTTAGGGCCACGGCAGCGAGCGCAAGTTCAGACACCACCTAATCAACCTGAAGCATTTACGCCAACGGTAAATGTGAAGCAATCGCCACATCCTCTTTAACTCTACGGGGATTTCCCTCTTCTCTTCTGTGGTCACATTCAAATCTGGTGGTAGAGAGAACTCTCACATGGGAACTGCAACAGTCTGACAATAGTGAGCCCCCATCTGCTCCAGGGGCAGAATGATTCCATAATTCTTCCAACTCTCACACTGGATTGACCCAACATCTCTGGGCGGCTCTCACTCAGGGGTATGGGCTACTTCGATTGCAACCTCAATTTGGAACATCTGTACACAGTTGGTGGCAAAACGTGCAGATGGGGCCAGACTGATTTCCCAATTTCAAGGCCTTCAAAGATGCCACCACCGATGTAGGTACAGGGTTGTGACAATGACCCATGACCTTTTGGCTGGCACACGTTGAAACAAAAGTTTTCCTAGCTGGCAGACTATGGTCTCTAAGTTTCAGCCTAACTGATTGGCTGTCATCTAGGTTGCAGAGGACTGATCACGCCCTTCATCCCAGCCAGGTGAACAGTGTCCTAGAACTTAGGGCTGGAGCACCTCTCAGAAGAGTTTCTTCGGTATACAGAGAAATGAAAACTGTTAACAGTTGCTTTCATCCTAAAGAATTTTTTTTTGAAAGATTTTACTTATTTACTTGAGAGAGAGAGAGAGAAAGAGAGAGAACAGGGGGTGGGGGAGAGAAGAGGGAGAAGCAGACTCCCCACTGAGCAGAGAGCCCGATGAGGAGCTCGAGCCCTGAGACAGCGACCTGAGCCAAAGGCAGCCGCTTAACCGACTGAGCCACCCAGGTGCCCCCAGTTGCTTTCATTTTAAATGATAAAGGATATCAGCTTGTAAATTTCTCTCAGCTGAACCAAAGAATTTTTATTACTAAACCAATGACAAAGAAACTTTTGTCAGTAAAAAAGGAAAACATGCCATTTAGGGGCACCTGGGTGGCTCAGTCCTTGGGTGTCTGCCTTTGGCTCGGGTCATGATCCCAGGGTCCTGGGATCCAGCCCATGTCGGGGTCCCTGCTCGGCGGGAAGTCTGCTTCTCCCTCTCCCACTCCCCCTGCTTCTCCCTCTCCCACTCCCCCTGCTTGTGTTCCCTCTCTCGCTGTGTCTCTCTCGCAAATAAATGAGAAATCTTAAAAAAAAAAAAAAAAGGAAAACATGCCCTTTAAGTTTAGCCTGTTACATTATAGAAAAAAATAATTTCAAAAAGACTGTAGTTGTGCTTCCATTCATTCAAAAAATGCTAAATGAGCTCCTAAAATATTTATTTGATGAATACCTATCATGACCTTTCATTGTTTACAATTAGTATGGACTACTTTTATAGTCAGAAAAAGAGATGCTACATTTGGAAGATAATAATAGCAACATGACACATTATCGATGTGAACATTAATTCAAAAAACGTTTTGGGAAGCAACCGCACAACTTGTGTAAACAAATAAATGTGTTTTAAAAGGCTTCATGCAAAATGTCATTCATCTTTTTTTAATACGGCAAACAACTGCAAAAAGCCCTAAATCCTCAGGACGCCTGGGTGGCTCAGTTGGTTAAGCGGCTGCCTTAGGCTCACGTCATGATCCCAGGTTCCTGGACTGGAGCCCCGCATCGGGCTCCTTGCTCGGCGGGGAGTCTGCTTCTCTCTCTCCCTCTGCCTCTCCCCCTGCTTGTGCTCTCTCTCTCTCTGTCAAATAAAATAAAATAAAATAAAATAAGCCCTAAATGCTCAACTGTCCAACACGTGGATGCTTGAGAACAAGAAAGCAGTTGATATTCTGTGTGATTCGGTTTAAGGCAAATCCATCTTGAATTCTATTCCAGAGTTAATTACTAAAGTCTCAAAAGAAATGAATACAAAGCTGTTTCTTCTGAGGCTTTCTCCCGCCGTCTGCCACAAAGGAGATGACCGCGTCTTAACTGAAATCCAGAGTGAGGATCAGAATGATTTGACCTAGGTTTCTTGATTCAACAAAGTATCATCTCCATTCCATATTTATACCACATGTCTCACATTATGAATACAAAGCAATGAGAAGATTTAAATGTGAGACCACTGAATTAGTAAAATTATTATTTTTAAGAAAATCACAAACTAGTTAGGCAGGTTGAAGACAAAACTGCAAAGGGCAAGAGCTTTTTAATTCATCCACCCTTCCTCAGTATGGGACCCCGAATGACTTCTCTCCAAGCTTTCTACCGCGTGCTTTCCTCAAGTAGTAGACGGGGTGAAAATAATATTGACCTTCCAGAACTGTTTTAAAGACTGAATAAACACAAAAGCTCTCAACCTTCTTTTGTTAAAATTAACTAGTGAGAAATGTGACAGTAATACAAAATACACCTGCACAGATATTAGGGGACCTCTGTGGATATATGCTTGCCCTATGGTATTACCTGAACTGGGAGTGTGTGGATCTGCAAACAGCTTTCCTCAAATATTGGGCATTAAGCAGAGTTACCCTGTAGACGATTTATCAGAAAAGGAAAGAAAGAAAAAGGAACATATTGAATGATTTCATTAAAATACGCCTTGAGGATTAGGTGTTTAAGCCATTTACATAGAGAGAAATGTAGTATCACTTTAGGGCTATCCATTTGAGGACAAGACAGTTAAAAGTGTATCAAGCTCCATACAAAATGCTAGTCATTTGCTCTACCTGTTACAAATTTGAAGACAAATTCTACTGAATCAAGAGTAGCAGTCCCCGGGACACAGGCCCTACGAAGCACTTAGCCTTTTCGTCCTCAGATTTGGTTATGAAGATTCATAAATGTGTAGAGAGGCTGAAAGAACCATACCATGAATATCCTTAGATTAGCTTTGTGTTCCTTTTATCACGTCTCTATCCATCTTATTTTTTTGATGCATTTTATTTTATTTTAAGATTTTATTTATTTATGTGACAGAGAGACAGCGAGAGAGGGAACACAAGCAGGGGGAGCGGGAGAGGGAGAAGCAGACTCCCCGCCAAGCAGGGAGCCCGACGTGGGGCTCGATCCCAGGACCCTGGGACCATGACCTGAGCCGAAGGCAGACGCTTAACGACTGAGCCACCCAGGTGTCCCTTTCTGACGCATTTTAAAGCTAAGGTATAAATGCCAGTACATTTCAGCCTGGCATACCGTTGATCACAGCTCGAGATTAATTTACAGCTGTTGTTGACGTAGCCTCTACAAACTGTGAGGTAATCAATCCTAAGTGTAGCGTTTGAGAGTTCCAACAAATTCACACACCTGTGTCACCTCCACTCCTATCCCCATCTACGTACGTCCTCCCTAGGGGGCCCCCTCATACCTCTTCTCAGAGGATTCTGCCCCCCCAAAAACCATAAACCACTACAAATGATTTGTCTTCACTTAGACTAGTTTTGCCTCCTTTAGAATCTCATATTAATGGGATTACATAGTATTGCCCTTTTGTGTAAGGCTTATTTCACAGCCTACCATTTTGAGATTCATCCATGTCACGTTGCACTAGCTTTTAGTGCACAGATTTTATGGGAAGT